AGTGAGCAAATTATATTTTAAACAATAAGTAAGTTTAGGACCTGGGGGTAATAAAGGATATTTTGTTGATCATTCTGAGCACATGGTGATTAACTGCTTCTGTATTGATCTGAAAACTCAGGTTAGCTGAAAGAATACAGCAGGTCTATGGCACAGTGGCAAGCGCTGCGTGTGCTTTCCCCCAGACACACAGTAGCCCCCCAAAGAGGCTGTGCAAGATGCTGTGTAGGCTGCTGGAGCACCAGCTGTGCTTAAGGGTACTTGTGCTTGTGAGCTGTAGGGTTCGTGGTGTGGATTGGTTAAGTCTGCTCTCAACTCTGGCTTGAGGCCTCACTCCAAAGGGTACAGATCAAAACCTATGTCTTTGTGTGCCAAGTGACTGTCAGCAGTGGGGTGGAACAAAGAGGCCACAGCTCCCATTCTCAGACTCCTTTTTAAAGGTCTCATTACTTGGAGTATTTGCTTGGAAATACACAGAATGAAGAGACGGGTAAAAAAACAGTGCTGTGAATAAAGCATATGGACATGGTGATGAGAGGAGAGAAAGGACAGCAAGAATGGGGTAAGCAGAGGAGGGCAGCTGTTCCTACTGTGGCCAGCTTCGTGATGATGTGGGGAATGGTGGCAGGAATATGTGCAGGATGTGGTGCAGAAGCATTTGGCAGGTTCAAACTGCAGTCACACAAGAGAGCTGCAAGTGCTGCTTTCATTGGCCATACTCATTTCATATAGTAGCACTTCCTTGTATCCAGCTGTCCCTTCTTTGTGATCCCTCCACAATCTCCCCAATCCTACCGATAGTCCTGTGTAGCTCCCCCTGCCCCTGTGTGCTCCCACTTCCAGTGCCTGCTGTGCCTCTGCAGTCTGCACTTGACAAGCTCCTTTTCCCCAAAATGGGGAAGGAGAGGCATTCAGAAGCCCCTGTTTATCTCCTCCACCTTTAGAACTCTCCCCTTCCTAGCAGGGGGTAGCAGAGCCCAGCCTGGGTCCATGACCCAGAGCAGTGCACGATGCACAGTCCCAAAACATGCTGTCAGATCATGTGACTCCATTTCTTTCCACACTCTTTCCTGCTCCAGCACTGTTTCCTACTGTCAAGGCTAATGAGGTCAGGGCTTTTGGTGCTTTCCTCATCCTTGCTCTGTCTGTTGTGAATCACAGCATTGAATAGCATTGCTCATGCTGCAACTTCCCAGATACCTCTGTCTGACCCTCCTCTCAATCTTCAAGTCCTTCTTCTTTCCCGTTTTTCTTTCTCCGTGGCTTTAAAACCACTATAGTGAAAGGAACAAAGTTGTGAAGACAGAAGGCCAATTTTAGCCGTGGTACAAGCAAAGGCAGCTTCTGTTTCTTGGGCGTTATGTTTGCTAACTCCAGAGTGAGTTTAGCCTGTAACTGGTGCTGTTGAAAGCTGTTGCAGGCAGACTTTGCATGTTTCCTTTCAAGGCAGCTGTGATAATAGCAGCCTGTACAATTGCTCTTTCTAGGTCTTCTTTACAAAAATGATTTCCCGTATCCACCAGAGAGGTGATTTGGCTCAGTGATGTTGCCTTTGTACCAGGAGAAGCTGGTACTGCTCACAGGAGCTGGATCCAAAGCCTTCTGCTACACCTTCTGCAGACTGTTGCATAAACCTGCATGTGGAGGCAGAGTGGCAGCCCTGTGAGCCCCAGCCTCCTGCAGTCTCACAGGAGGAAGAGTCTCCAAGTTTGTGTAGCTGCCTGGTGACCCACAGCTAGCATATGCCACAGCACAGGTGCACCAGGATGCGCTTCATACAGTTTTACATGGCAGAGTGTGTATGTGATGAGCACTTGATTTAAGTCTCATGCTAACAGCTTAGCGGTTTTGCTCAAATACATAGAAAAGGTCCCAGCCTTAAGCTCCTGTTCTTGAAGACAAGCTTGCCCTGTAGCCTTCATGACATTTTTAGTGGAGTATCTGAGAGCAGGCAGCTAGACCAAACACGGTGTTGCAAGCCTGGAAATGTAAATAGCACTTGCTTGTGCCATCCTTCTTTGGGATTACTTTGGGGTCTGGATTTTGGAAATGGATGAAAAGTCAGTCTTTTTGCAATACTACTACTGTCTTCTGTTTTCTTCTGCCATTATGAAACAAAGCAAGAGGCAGTCTTAAGTGGCAGCCTGGCACCCCACAGGGGCTGTGTTCCCATCACATGAAGAAGGTCCAGGCTCTCGATTGCAGGGTCCCCTCTGTGCATCCTAGAGTGCATCAGTCATCTCCCTTATAGAGTACAAAACCTTCCCACCTAGAAGAAAAAGTACTCAGGGAAATGTATGTCTTAAAGCATGCTTTGATCCCTACCGTGATCTTTTCCTGCAGAAAGACAGCAATCTGGCCCGTCCTTTTGAATGCACAATTTTATGGAACAGGAAAATCCCCTTGAGTTTTTTAAGCAACAGCACTGGTTTTCTCTAAGATCTCACCCTGCAGTTTAATTTTCAGTGGAACAAAATTCTTAGATCGATTTTTTTAAGAATCTGGCATCTTTATTGGCAATCAAGCCTACAAATTGTGCCTTCTGGTGAACTCAGCAGACCCACAGCTTTGTGTAATTGAGACTGCAGCATGATAGAGAGTTCTGTTATGGCTTCACATATTGATCAGTCTGACTTAATTTCCCCATGGTTCCTGGACCACGCTAGGGATGATGCATTATGTTGAAGGCCTGATAAGCCTGTTTGAGCAAAACATCTCAAGGGGTTCTGGAACAGAGGCAATTACCAATACTGATACGTGTTTCCTTTCATCAAAAATTAAGGGCTCATTAATAGGCTGCACAGCAGCTGCTGTTTGCAGCACATGACTTTTTTCTAATTAAGTTGGAGATACTCTTTCGTCAGCCATATGAGTTGGCTGTTTCCAGAAGGAAAAGAAATTGGGTCCCAGGATTTGATTTTAATGATATGTATGATAGCAGTATCTCCTGCACTGCTGTGTTCACTGTTTTGGTAATTGAAGCTTAGGTTGTATTTAAGAGCGATAGTCCCATCCCACTGCTTAAACTACGCACGCCCACAAATCTTGGTGTTTTACAACTTCTGAATTTTGTGTCAGGTTACTGATGGTGTCTGCTGATTACTGGGTAGATGGATTCCTGTTGTAACTTTGGCAGTCAGCATTTTTGTTCAGCAGTGGATATGTTAAAAATGTTTTTAAGCTGTGTTTATTTTAGGCTCTCAGATTTGAGAAGGAAGCTCACTGTTGTTTCTGGCTGTTTTACCTTCTCTCAGCAAAAATCCTAACATTTCATTTTTAACCTATTTGATGTAGGTGTGTTGTGGGTGTCAAATTCATACTGCTATTTTATGTTGCAAATTAGATGCATGGAAAGAAAATATGATCAAGGCAAACTGCTATGTTAAACTTGATTTTAAACAGTTTTCAGATAAGCAGCTAGAAGTTTAGTGCCTCACAGAATCATTTTTCATAGCTAGTAGGAGTTGCTTTTGTTTTGTTTATTCATCAGAAAATAATGTAACCATTTAACACCAGCTATAGCATTTTCTGATTTCTTTTCCATTTGACACACATTATCTCTTTAATTAGTAGTTCTGCTCATTAATGCATGGAATGAAAGTCAGAAGCAATTTTCCAAGGAACATTGGCAAATACTGCTGTTTTTAAGCATAGATGAATGTGGATACATACATTCATGGGTGATTACCTAGGAAAAAGTGGAAAGGTAGCTGGGTTGCAGAAAATATACAACACTTGAACCACATTCCGTAACTTATTCAAAATCCTATGATGTGTGTCCGGTGCTAAATGAAAAGTGTTCCTTACCTGATTTTTCTTCTTTTCTTGATGTCTGAACTTCTAGAAGCATTTCTTCAAGTGAGAATTACAGTTTTCATTATAAAAAAAAGAAATATTTAGTACTGGTAACTGTTCCTTAAAGTTGTGAGTCAAGTGTTTCTTAGGAGGTCAGAAACAGGAAATTAGATGAAAAGAAACATTTTAGTTCTCTAGGTGAAGCTGGAATTCTTTTGAAGTTGTGACTCATATCCAGCCATTACTGGAATTCATGGTACTGATCCCATGGGTACAAGATCCCATGAATATTTAATGGAAGATGGCTGGTACCATTACTGCCCTCCAGGCTGCTGTTTATAGTCACTTCTCTTCCCTAGATACTGTCGTGACTAAAATGTGAGGATGAGTGGGTTACTCTAAATTACCTTCAGCAATGATTAATTCAGATTAATCACCTAGTCTTACAAACACTGGAGCACTGAAAGAACAATAATGGTGTGAGAAATCCCCTAAATTTACCTAGTATTAAACATATTCTGGATGCAAACATACTGATAGGACCAATTCAGACATTCCTACTGATGTGATAAAGCCAATGTGCTTTTACCTGACAGGTAGCTCCTTTGATTTCAGTGGCCTACAAACCTTATTAAGACTGTGCAGTTCAAAGTGGTAGGTTGAATGTCACAGATTAGTAGGATCAAGAGCAGTTTCAGCATATGTTAGGCCTTTGCTTACTTCCTCACTCCTTAGTTGTCCACCGGTGTTCCTCTCAACAGCCCACCATAGGCTACCTGCTCCAACCACTGCACAGGGGAAAGGAGCAGAGTCTGCTTTTTAGGGAGGCGTTGTATTTTGGCCTGTATTTTAAAGGTCATTATTATAACATGTAGCAGGTTTGAGTTACAGAATGGACCTTTAAAAATAAACTATTTTTAGGAACATGGAGTGCTGGAAAAAAACAGCAATTATTTGGTTCTAAAATGGAAGAAACTTAAGTAAACATGGCAATGTTCCCTAGACCTGCTTTTCTGAAATTATATGTTAATGTTTTAAACGGTGGGACAGTAACACTATTTATCATTAGTTTTAAATCTTAATGGTACATTTAATTGCCTCCCCCACTAGTTTTGGAAGCTGAAGCCCTGAAATGTGAATTGGGGTTTTTCTAATAGTGTACACTATGCTATTTTGAATTGCGCTATTTATCTTTTAATCTCTAGGTGCTGAAGTGTTGTATATGAACATGTCAGCATATAATGAAGGTCGGCTTCAGTCATCTTTCTGGATTGTTGATAAACAGCACGTGTATATTGGAAGTGCCAGCCTAGACTGGAGATCACTGGGACAGGTAATGTAATTGAAAAAGTAATCCTATACCTTTTGAGTGTATAATGAGGAGAAAAAGTAATGTCTTGAGGCCAGCAAGATGGATAGCTTGCTTTTTCTGATAGTTTGCTGGCAAAAATGCCAGCATCAAAAACTGCACTGCCATGGTTTTGATGACTTCTGTGTTGGCAAAAGTGTATTACTATAAATTTTACTTTTCATTGGAATAGCTATCCTTAACAGTTCTCCTCTGAGTTAAATTTAAAAAAAAAAAAATGATTGCCCCTATTGATTTCTCTGATTTTGTTGTTTCAGGATTGTAAGTTCTGGTTTACTTCTGATTTGCCTTCTGTGGGTATCTGTAGTTTCCTTCTTTCTGCAACAGTCTCCAGATTAACAGCTATCATATTCATTTTGACTACATACCGCTGATTCAGTGAGGCTGCTGTTGGTCATGCTTAGGGAGTGGAACCTCAGTAACTGAAATGCGCAACAGAAAGGAAAAAGCCGCAGTCCTATGTAGTTATTGGTTGCATTAAAGAAAGCTTGCTTTCTAAATATGAGCAGAATCTTGGAAGCACATGGATAATTTTGAACATGGCCTCTAAGGATCTTGTAAAGGAGGAGGTGTGTATTGGTTGTATTGAAGGTTTTAAATGTTGTTTTGAGCTGAGACTGAAAGTCTGAATAAAACCAAATCAACCATTTTGGTAAAGAATAAATAAATTTTCGCTGTTCCTATGTCTATTTACTTATTTAGAAGGTTACTTTATGAACATTTACAAAGGAGTCTGGAATACCGGTAGAAAATAGGATGTTGTTAGCAAATCACAGAATCTTGGCGAGATTATGTTGTAGTTTTGCAACACATAGTTTAGGTTCTTGGACAGTTTAGAAATCAAGTGTTTATACATTGCTGTACCTCATGAGCTAAACTGTTTCATGTCATGACAAAATAGCTCTTCACAGAACTATTTGGCTTTTAAATACTTTAGCTTTGAAGCCACTTCTAATTGGATTTTGAGTAATGGTGATAAATAATAAATGTGGAGAAAAGAAGCAATCTACTTCATAGATCATTATTATATTTAATAATGTGTTTATGATCTTCGTCACAGATGCTACAATACCTCATAGGCTTGGTCTTCTCACAGTGAAGTAAATCTTAATTCTTGTAACATACCCGTGTTAAACTTTGATACCAGTTCTTTTGTGGGCCAGTGTTTCAAATGTGATTCCTCACTGTTAATTTGATATCTCTTATTTCTGTATTCATTTGGACATTTCATCCTGTTGTCATATAACAGAATATTTTTATATGTACTGATAAGATGAAGCTCAGAATAGTATCTGTACAGAGCAAGAAGAAACCTCTGTGAATTGCAGTTAATCTACTTTCAATTGGTTGAGAAACGTATGCTGGGGTTTCAGAAGAGCCCAAGGAAATTAGGTCCTTGTCTTCTGCTGACATCAGATATGAGTATCCAGTTCCCTTACCCCGGTTACAGGTTAATAAATCAGGGCAACTGTCAAAGAGATCTGATATGCAGTCCTAAAATAATAATCTCTCTTGAACTTTTTACATAAGAGGCAAAATAAGCAAAGAACTTGGTCATTTTATTCTGAGTGCTTTCCTCAAGGACAGTATTTTGCATGTGCATGGGACCTAACCTTAAAACCCGTGGTGAACCAAACCGTTACTGGGGAAACACATCTCCCATGGGCTCTCATTATCAGAGTCCCAGTGCAGCTGCAAATGAGGGATCAGGCCAATCCTCTCTCAAATCAGCCTAAATGAGTGTGGTCTGAGTTTAACTGGGAAATAGAAGAGCAGATAGTGCCAAGCCTGTCAAGACCCATGCCCTTGCCCTTGCCATTGCACTGCCTTCAGTATCAGGGTAAGGGGCTTCTGCAGTTTTGCAGGGGGATGCAGGGAATTCACTACAGATGCTGCTTTGCAATTCCTGTTATATCTTGGTTTACCTGCAGGGAAAGGACTGGGAAAAGGCAGACTGGGCTGTTGATTAGTTACATATGGTCTCTTCAAAAGCTCACATGACTTCTAGAGAAACAGAACTTGTGGTTATTGAATCAGCACACCACTTTGGCCAGTATTACTAAACCTTGACAGCAGATAAACAGAATAAAGCATGTCTCTGCTAATGTAGAAACATATGGTAGTTTGGCCTATCAAGCACAGCAGTTGTCTTCTTACTCAAACAAAACATCTAGTATGAGTCAGTCACCTTGTAGATAACAATGTCTCATTATTCTAGCTTATATTTCAAAGGCCAGGTTGGACAAAGCCTTGGGTGACATGGTTTAGTGTGAGGTGTCCCTGCCCATGGCAGGGGTGCTGGAACTAGATGATCTTAAGGTCCTTTCCAACCCTAACTATTCTATGATTCAGCAGCACAGTTCCAGTGTGAATTATGTGAGTGCATCCAGTTTTGTATCTAATATCTGAAATGCAATGTCACTTAAAATTGTAACTGTGTGCGATTGTCATACCTTTTCAGATGCCTTCCCTTGTACTTTCTACGTGCATGTTTATTGCTTTCTCTGTACTGAAACTTTGCATACATTCAGGACAGTACACTGAGTAATTCTTATAGGAGCACCTACCTGCTTCACTGGTGTGGCATTTTTACTAGGGATGCAGCAGGTCTCCATTGTATTTCACCCTAGGCAATAGTCCCAGAGCCTTCCTACTTCCTACTTTAGTGGATATAGAAATGCTTCTGTGACATAGCAGTACACAGCATTTAACATAGAGAAACTCAGCATGATAGAGAATATTTATGCAAGGTTACTGGGATAGCTATAACTGGAGTTCATGCTTTTTTTGTTCCTTTGGAGGTGGGAGGGGGAAGAGGAACAAAGTTGTTAGCATCATTCTTTTCTTGGGAGCCTAAGTCGAAAGCTGAAATAGTAATTTAACTTTTAACAGCTCCATAGAAAGCAACATCAATGTGGAGGAAAATGGAGGAATCAGGCACAGTCAACAACATAGGTTCATGAACGACAGGTCCTGCTTGAACAACCTGATCTCCTTCTACAATAAAGTGACCTACCTGGTTGATGAGGGAGAGGCTGTAGACATTGTCTGTTTGGACTTAAGTAAAGCATTTGACACTGTCTCCCACAGCGATCTCGTGGAGAAATGGGCTGCTCATGGTCTGGATAGGTGGATTCTTCGCTGGGTTGGAAACTGGCTGGATAGTTAAGCCCAAAGAGTAAATGGCATGACATGTAGTTGGCAACTGGTACTAGTGGTGTCCCTCAGGGCTCGGTGTTAGGGCCAGTGTTGTTTAATATCTTCATTGATGATCTGGATGAGGGGATTGAGTGCACCCTCAGTAAATCTGCAGATAACACCAAGTTGGCTGGGAGTGTTGATCTGCTGAAGGATAGGAAGGCTCTGCAGAGGGATCTGACCAGCCTGGATCGATGGGCTGTAGCTGATGGTATGAGGTTCAACACGGCAAAGTGCCAGGTCCTGTATTTGGGCCACAACAACCCCATGCAACATTCCAGGCTTGGGGAAGAGTGGCTGGAAAGCTACTCGGCAGAAAAGGACCTGGGTGTTCTGACTGATGGCTGCTGAACATGAGCCAGCTTGTGCCCAGGCAGCCAAGAAGGCTAACAGCATCCTGGCCTGTATCAGCAGTAGTGTAGTCAGTAGGACCAGGGTGGTAATCGTCACCCTGTACTTGGCACTGGTGAGGCTGCACCCTGAATCCTTTGTTCAGCTCTGAGCCCCGTACTACAAGAAACACATTAAGGTGCTGGAGCAGGTCCAGAAAAGGGCAATTCAGCTGGTGAAGGGCCTGGAGCACAACTTGTGATGAGGAACAGCTGAGGGAACTGGGGTTGTTTAGTTTGGAGAAAAGGAGGCTCAGGGGACAGCTTATCAGTCACCTGAAACTACCTGAAAGGAGGTTGTAGTGAGGTTGAGGGTCAGTCTCTTCTCCCAAGTAACAAGTGATAGCACAAGAGGAAATGGCCGCAAGCTGCACCAGGGGAGGTTTAGATGGGATGCAAAAAAAATTTCTCCACAGAGAGGGTGCTCAGGCATTGGAGCAAGCTTCCTAGGGAAGCAGTGGAATCACCGTCCCTGGAAGTGTTCAAAAACAGTGTAGATGAGACCCTCGGTGACATGGCTTAGTTGTGGTCCTTGGGGTAATGGTTGGACTTGAGGATCTTAAAGGTCTTTTCCAGCCTGGTTGATTTTATGATTCTGTGATCAGGGCTCACATGTCAAAAGGTGTCAGCTTTGTTCTTATCTTTGTGGAAAATTCTTCTCTACATTTATAAGCTGGAAACTAATCTCATTGTGAGGCTTACTGAGTTTTGTTGCCATTTTCTTGACTTGCCAGCACTGACAAGAAGTAACAGTAGTATTTCCTTTAAAAGTAAATGTTCTGCATCAAGGCGAGATTTTTATATGCTGCATATATTGCTTAGGGGATAACCTTTAAAGTTGCATATACCCTTGTGCCTTCACTGTAAAAGTTTTAATACTTTCCAGAGTCTGAGCTTTGAAGTTATGGGCAAGGTTGACAGCACATCATTACGTTTCAATTAATCAACTTTTCAAGTTTCAATTAGGTTGCCAGTTTGCCAAAACTCTGATCATTTAAGTGAAATCACATGTGCCAGCTATCTGCTTCAGTCTAAACTCAAACCCCACAGGCAAATGAATAATACTGTTTAGACTGTCTGAAAACAGGGGTTTGCAAATCTTTAATGTTTTTTTCATTCACAGTGAAATATTTTGCTCCTTTCTTTGAACATGTTCAGATTTTGTCAGGGATGCATCTTTTTATTTTGTTACCAATATATGGCAGTATCTTGCACAGTTACATAACCCACTGAAAATTCCAGGTTATAAACAGCAAGAATTTTTACCACTTTCTTGGACAGATACCACTCCTTAGATCTAGTAAGCTGTGTAAGTTTTTGTCAATGAAATGATCTTTCTACTGATATAGTTATTTTCTGGTAAATGTTTGGCTGAAAAAGGATCCACTGAAACATGCCTAAAAATTGGCATATATACTGATTAATGTTTGCCTGTGGTAATAACATTTGACATGGCTGTGGTGCTGTATTCCATTTTTTAGTTCCTTGGCCTAGCTTATTAATAATGTACTTAAATGAAAGAAATTGGTTATATAAAAATTATTAGAATTCATAATATTAATGCAGAGCAAGAGCTAACAAAAGGTGTCATATTTCTTTTGTTCCATGACTTCCTCCAATAGTTCAAGCAAAGCTGGAAAATGCATTTAGCTCCTTAATTCTGTTGAGAAGCGTGAGGTTTGTAATACAGACAAAATCTTTCGGGAGCTTAAGAAACACTTCTGGAGATTTTCATACTAACAACGTTTTTAGACAAGTTTTATTCACACAAGAATGATTGAATCCAGTGGGCAAACAACTGTCTAATGGATTAGCTGAACCACTTCAGAAAAATACATTTATGTGCAACAAATAATCAGCCCTTGGAAAATTCCATTACTGAAAATTATTGAAACAAGTAAAATTAATCTGATTGTCTTCACTGGAAGTGGAATCAGGCTTATACCAAATACTCTTGTAGGCAAATAAAATAGCTTAAGTCATGGTAGCAGGTAGTTGGGTGTTTGTGCAGGGGTTAGTGTCCAAATTTGAATGTTCAGGTCTCAAGCAGAAGCCTGCTGCTTGTTCCCTGCAATTGGTGGAGTCTGACTGTAAACACCTGAAAGTGTAAATGAAATTGGCACACCTGGACTCTTCCAGTTACTGATGAGACATGAGACAGAACCACCAGTTAGGAGGCTGCTCACGCCTTGTGCTTATGCATGAGAACTCTTTACAGAATTACGTGGGGGAAAAGTGAGTCTTGGAGTGCCAGAAAATAAGGGCTGCTGGATAGAGGGGGTCTTGGAACAAAGGAAGGGGACCTGGACAGAAGAAGGTGAAGTTCCTGGCTGGGGGAAGGATCTTGGAAGTGGGGAAGATCCTGGAGATCAGGGAGCTTTGAGGAGATGGAAGCTAGGCGATGCACCAAGGACACTGGCTGGTGACAGCTGAGACAGGTAACAGGGAGCAGCCACACAGCACAGATGGCCCTAACTTTCTGCCCAAACATGCCCAGGCCATCAGCCACCTCCCTTCAGGGAGCAAAGGTATGAATAAAAGGTGTAAATGATAATCAGGTAGATGCAAAAGTTCTCAGTGGTTCTTAAACAAACCCTAATATCTAGATTCATTGCAGGCAGTCATGTATCTTGCCTGTGACATCTTAAAAGCATTATCTCAAAAAGTCCTGCTTAAATTTTGGTTCAGCTGATGTCCTAAGCAGTCCCATGATTTCCTCTTTTAGCTAGCTGTGTAAAAATTGCTAGTAGAGGATTTTTCTTTTTAAGGTGCCTATTAAGTCCATGTATTTTCTGGTTTGTTCATTCTTCTGTTTTCAATTCAGACCAGTTTAAGCTGAATGGCTGCAAGATGTAATTTTTTTAAGGACAAAAACCCACCAGGCTGTAAAACTTTTAGGACAAAAATTCCCAACCTAGTGAACCTGCTCTCATATTCCCATTTATTTTATGTGTCTCTGTTGGATTCTCTGTGTGATTTGTTTCACAGTACAAAGTAAGACTTCAGAAAGGCATTTGATTTCTCTTCATTTTAGAAATTTCATCAGGAAGAGGACTCAGAAAATAATACCTGATATCTTCACCTATGTATTTATCGATGAAGACATATTGATTCTTGATAAATTGGGCTTGGCCTTATGACTAGAATTTGTTGACCTTGCTTCTTTCATGAAATGAGCTTGGACAAAGTTTTGAATAGCAGATGTTTATCTAATAATCTCTGTTGCAAAGGATCAATGATTTGTTCTTGCTGACTCCCAGCAGTGCCTTGGAGCACTTTCTAAAGTGTCCTGTGTGACAGCTGAGAGTCTGACAGGACTACTGAACAACAGTATTTCTTTTTCAGGCAGTTTCCTCTTCATCCTCCTCTTACTCTCTTGTTATAAGTTAGAAACTGATGATTGTATCTACATAATTTAAGGTAATTAGAAAATGAGATAAACTGTCCCACTGTTGTTTATCAGGTTGGAAACAGTGACCTGTTTTATCTGAGGAGTTAGGTTTTTAATTGATGCATCTAAGAGGTCAAATAAATACACAAGAGAGGCAGAATACTGTAGGAGACGAGAAGTGTGATTGCATGAATGAGAAACTCTCTATGGACTACTTTTTCATTACGATTATTATTACATAAAACATACTTGTCTCTTTAGGATTGACTCCTACAGTACATGCAGGCTTTAGCAATTATGAATTATCAATTACATTTGAAGTGTATGAAATAAGTTTCCCAATTCATTTATTTTTCTAAGAATTCAGTTGAATCAGAAGTCAAATTAGCTATGTAAAATATTAAGACTTTATTAAGTGTTATACAAGTGCTAATTATTCAGAAAAGGTTTATGAACCATTTGTAGATACTGTAGATAAAGTTATGACAGTTATAAATAATCTAATCATATTTACAGTGAAAGTATATTGGATTTGGGATTTTCTGAAATTAAGAACTTTAAAGTTACTAGGAAAAAAAACCCAAACAAACAGAAACCCCTGTTGATCCAAAGATCTGTTTCCTCTGTGTGTCAGTTTTAAGTAAAACCTGGCAAGCCAATGTTTTATTTGTTTTAGTATGAATTAGGTTTTTGCATTTAGGAAAGTCCAATGTATAGGAAGGCTTGCAACAGGTATGGCTGCAGGAGCACTTGGTTTGTTGCTGTGTGTCTTGCCTGTTATAACTAGACAGGACAAAACTGGATTGAGAGATATTGGGGGTTTTGATTTAGTTGTTCAGGCTTTCCTCATAACATAGGAAAAAGGGAGGCAGAAGCAGCAGTTAGAATTCTTCTCTACCACCTTCTTCTCCTCTTGTCTTCAGTGACAAAAAGACTGATAAAACCTAACCTCTTTTTCTTCCTACTCTGAGATGACAAAAGTTGGGAGGTAATATGGTATCTCTGGTTATTGAGAGCTGCATCTAAAAAGGCAGGTTTGGGGCAATTTGAGATTGTGGAAATACTGGAGGATTAACTCTTTGATTGCTTGTGGGAAGCAAAATCAATTGGAAGCAATCCATGTTGTTCTTTACTCTCAGAAGTCTCATCCCAGTTATACTGAGGAGACTCGTGGAGGAGTCACAGCTTGAAGGCCACACTAAGAGTGACAGAAGTCATCCTGGGATTATTCCTTCTTCTCTTGGTCTCCATTTCTGGGTTATAAATCCAATTCAAATTGTTCCCAAAATTCAGGAAGCTCTTGCATGCTGTCAGGAACAAATGCAACCCATATGTATGTCTCTCAGGGAAAGGGGAATGATCATTTTCTCAAAGTATACCCTTGAACACTGTAGTTTCTATTTATTTGTGTGATCAAAATCATCCTCCTATAAAACCAGTATGTAATAAATACTGGAGCTCTATATACCTTGGACTAAGTCATGACAATCTCATTTGTTTCCAGCTTCCCCAAAATCTTGCTGTAGCAGAGCCACCTCTCCAAACTGATCGCTGAGAGAGGATCCGCACATTTGCAATTCCTGTTAATGACAGTTGCATCCTATCTTTACAGAACTCATAGATTAAAAAGCATGCTATAATCAGTCAGTCATTTTTTGAACTTTTATCTAAATGAGTCTCTTGAAGTTACGCAATAGCGCATCTGGTCCTTTAGAGATAAGATATTTTGACAGTTAGTGGAATCGCTTCTTTTCACTCAAGCAAAAGTTAGATGAGTGTTTCCATTTGATATAATGTTGTTCTAGTGTGAACAACATTAGTTACGTCCCTAATGGGCACTTTAGACCATTGTAAATCCTTGCCATTTTCTTCTAATTATTTGTTTAATTTTCTTACTGTCCCAGTGGTGTTCAGTATCATATCGCTGTTAGTAAATTGAGCACGCTCTCAAGTGTCCTATAACACGAAACAAGGCTCTTTCAATTTAGTCATCCACCAAGGCGCAATCAAGCTCAGATGGGTAAATGTTAGACTGAAAGTACATGCAGTATAATACCAGTATGTCTAAATTCATATTTCTGTGTTAAATAATATATCTTACATACAACAGAGAATATCTGCTTCTAAAAAGCTCTGACATATTGGTAGCTATGTGATCCAATCCTTAAAAAAGCTTATGCTGCTTCATTTCAATGGGATTATTTCCAGAATTAGCTCATATTGTAAAGATAGCATAAAAGTGCAACCTGTTTGCAAGCACAGGTGAATGAGTCAAGACGTAAAGAAAACAGGTCTAGGTAAATATTGTAGTTGTACTGATAATTCAGTACCTTTTATGTCTTTCTATTTCCTGCTGCATAGAAAACTAGTTGTATTGTCAAAACTCAGCTGTGATGTTATTACATCTTGCCTTTCAAAAGACAGGCTGAAAATTTTCACTAAAAGCTTTTGGTGAGGGTCTCCAGCTTTGATCAAATGTGGAGCAGTTTGATGACTGTTACCCATCTCCAAAATAGCAGCTTTTCCTTTTCTTTCTTCTTTTTGAGGGGATGGGGGAGAGGGGGAGATATGTTGCTCTTGGAAATATGCATAACTCTCAGTATGCATTTATCATGGTATAAAGTTTGTACTGCTGGATGTTGTGGTTTATTCTCCAGCTGAGACAGGCCACTTTTTCTCGGTTACATCCAGTAAATCAGGGCAGTCAGTATTGTCCATTAGGCTTACTCTGCTTGAAATTATTACCTGACCATCCAGTATTTACAAATGAATCTCAAATGAAGCAAATGGGCTGTTTGTCTCTTGCTAGCATTGCTGTGCACTGCTAACAGAGGGCTGGTTAAAGCTGACACGAACATGGGTAATGTGGCTGCTCTGCTTGTGTTCTGTATGTACTTCTGCAGCTGCCTGGTATTGCTCCTGGTTCTCCCCTGTTCCTGTGGGCTTCTGTTTTTGTGATTGAAACCAGCATAGGGCTATGTATTCTCCTTGAGCTTGGAGCCAAAAAGACTTCTTATGCCTCCCCAGGCTGGCTAGTTACTCTAGATGCAGAGCCAATTCCCAGCTCCAAGGTGCTAAGAAGCTGTTCCTGTTTATCATACTTCTCCCACTGTTGTGCTCCATTCTCACATGCATCATCCATGTTATGTGTTTGTATTTAGTGTAATAGAGAGCAGAGTACATCTTGCTGGATATTTTTGATTTCTGCTGACTGTAGGAGGGTGCTCAGGCCTCTGACCTCTGAAATTACAGATCTATTTCCTTCTCTTCCATTTTTTTTTTTATTCAGTTGCTGTTCTGGAACGTTCTCTGGAACAAGTTTACTTACTGATGCAGTAATCAATAATAAAATGTAAGTCAATAAATAATAAACATGCAGAGCAAAATGATGGAATATCCAATTTGACCAGATAAGCTGTTCTTTTCAGAACAGTATGGGAGAGTCAGATAGTTGGATCTCTGCATCCAAATGAAAAGAGAAGGTTCTTTCTCCAGTAAAACTAACCTTGTAATCATTTGCTTGCTTTTTATACTTGCTATGCCATCAACACATCTTAAAATAATTAAGATTCATAGAAGATGTTGCAAAGGGAGTGTGCCTGGTACTGTTTTATGAGTGGTCCCTCAGATACTTGACAAATAATATGAGTGAATATCAGGATAATGAGTTTTGGATGGGCTCTAGACTTCCTTAGGAAACTAGAGGCATGCAGGAATTTGGTGGCAGAACACAGACTGTACAGCACCATGCAGAGGCAAGAAAATCATCCATGCACATGTGTGCAAAACTGGAGACAGCTCTAAAGGCCCCTGCTGATATCTTGAAGCAAGCAAGCAGACAGTGTGGTGAACAGATAGCACTGGTGAGATACGCTCGCATGAGCAGCTCAAAGACTCGGTAGCCTCAGAGTTAAGCCATTAAAATTTGAAAAATGTGTTTGGGAACAGGAAGTGCGTCACAAATCGTGCACAGGGCAGTGGTCTTGCCCTTAAAAATAAATAAATAAATAAAGGCCATTGGTCACGGTGATGAGAATGGTTTCCAGGCACTCCTCTTTAAGGCCCGTCTGCAGTGAGCAGTAAAGCAAAAGGGCTTAATTTGAATTTATAGATCCTCCAACTAATTGCACGCAAGTCCTGTGGTTTCATTTGTGTTGTGTTCATTAAGGAGCCCTGAAATAGTAAGACATGCTGAGACTGCAATGTGTATTAGCGCAGGTGCTGCACTGGAATGGTTTTATGACCTCTTTACTTGCAGACACCCTGCACAAAGTGGGGCAGCAGAAGCTGGCCTGTTTGCACTGCTCTGTCCTGCCCACTGCTGTTCTCAAGTCCAAGCCAGATTGTGTGGATGGGGCAAAAGGGTCTGAGCTGCACTTCTGTGCCAGAGCCTACTGCTGGAATTCAGCAGCTAGGGGGCGGACAAGCCTGTAGAGTCAGTCAGAGCTCTTCAGACCAGTGTGGCCTTTTACAATCAGAGATTCATTTGGGTTGGAAAAGATGTGTAAGATTATGGAGTCCAACATAAATCATTTTGTTGGATCAGGCCATACAGCCTGATCCAGGGGTTCCAGCATCTGGCTCAACACCTGGTGGTAGCCTTAAAATAATCAGAAGCTTACACGGATGTAAGAAAGGCAGCAAATCCACCACTAACTCAAAATATGATTTAGGTTGTGCTGAAAGAGAACTTGTTCTTTAAAACCCAGCTGAATCTCTGAGGGAGTGCTAATGCACCACATTCTATTCTGTCATCTCTCGTAAGAACTTGCTGGCAACTAATCTTGGTCAGTGATGTTAATGAATGGAGGCAGATTCCTCTCAGAAGTATTTAGTTATTAGCATACCCCATCAGATCAGTCTTGTTCAACTAAACAATTAAAATAACGACATTAAAATAGTCATGAAAGAGTATTCCCAATATGTGGTTCCACCCACGCGCACGCACTTTGATATTGCACAGATGATAGTTCCCTTCTGGATAAATATCTTCATCAGAACTGCCTCAACTCCAAAAGGTTCCCAAATGCAGCAGCACAGTCACCTCCCACTTTAGCAGTTGAATCCTTTCATGGAAAACTGGGTTTAATATTGTCCTGTGGAAAGACATGCAGTAAATTGGGCTGAAATACCATGCCATAAATCTCCCATGAGTCAGGGCAAGGAAGGACAATCACTTCAGCCATTATACAAAAAGAATAATGGTTCTGCAGCTCAGTATAAAATCTCATCTTTCTATATCCATAAGTCATCAGGCAGAACAAAACAGATTCTGACAAAGCATTCCTTCCATATGAATATGCAGAATTAATGGCACCGCTAAACCTTCTCAGATTTTAATGTTGTTGTCATAAGCAACGAGGCCAAGCTTGGAAGTCATTGTGCAGTCACCTTTCAGCAGTCACCAGAACAGTGCAATTCTTGATGTTGGCCTGGAACTACTCGGTGGCAGGCGTTTTGGTCAGGCAGTGCGTGCAAACAGAAATGTCAGGTCTATCTTCAGAAGACTGCAGAAGTCATGAGAATCCCTGTACTGGACAATCAAGTTTTTCTAATCAGTATAATGACTTATTAGGCATTTCTGTAAAATTTAATGATATGGTGGATTGCTGTGATTGGGTAGCAAATAAGTTTGTAAGTAGCTCTGCAGCATAGGTGCAGAACCTGCATATACCATACATATACATACCATGAACATAAACTACAGTTTCATGATATATGTTCTGCTTCTATGTATGGAAAACATCTTTTATCATCTTTGGGACTTACATTTTATTACTTTCCATTCTGTCTGTGCTGTAACAAAGAGCTCAGCTTGAACAGAAATAGTGAGAAATAAATAAATTTGATCTTCTAGTTTTCAGACTGGCAGTGTTAATGCTGAATTGGAGCAACCTGTTTTCATGTATATTTTCAGATATTTATTTCCTTTTCCTGTAAAGTGATTATTACCCAACACTGCAGATGGCAATGGCATCAAGCCTTAAAGTTGTCTCACGCTTGTTTTATGTGGGGGGGGGTTTCTTCTTTGTTCTGTTCAGTGTTAACTTACGTAAGTGCTATGCTGACTTTTATTAAATCTCTGAATCTTTGGCACACAATACTTCTGTTTCTTGCACAAAGGGTGTTACACATTATTTAGATATAAACAATTTTTACATCCACACAGGCAGAATCTGCCATTATTTGAGGTAGGAGAAAACACCCAGGTCATGACCTGATGCAGTAAACAGATTAATATTCCTTTTTCTCATGATACAGCCATAGCATTCATTAGTACTATCTGTAATAATAGTAGTACTTCACCAAGTACAAAAAGGCTTTTCAGATGACCCAAATGATCTTTACTTTTATGTGCAACATAGTGCTTTAGCAGAAAGAGGGAATTACAGAAGCAAGAATCCATGTGTCCCCAATTTTACTCTTAGGATCAGGAGGCATGAATATGCTGTATTAATTTAATTCCACATTTTCTTCCTAGGAGCATACACCAGGACCATGTCTTTACAGGAGACACTGCTTCCATGTCGAAGCAGCCAGAAACAACACAAATATCTAAGGTGGTTACTCAGAAGGGTAGGACTAAGAGCTAGTATGGATTTCTGAAACAGATTTTCATACAGGCTAGCCATTGTCTTGGGGCTGCCTGTGTACTGTTTTGCTAAATTATCTTACCTGTCTAAACTGCTTGGATTCCTAGCTTACCTCAAGGTCCTGTACGCTGAATTTAATCAAGGCTCAGGCAAAATTTAATTAGAGCCTTTGGTCCTCTGCTTACATCAAGAGAAGAGGGTTCTAATTCTGATCAGGTACTCTAGCAAGGCTGAACAGTGGTAATTTATATGCAATGTCATTGTCCCAGTTTGTGTCCGCAGCAGGCCTGCCACCAATCCCTTCAGTTTGCAAAAGGAAGGGATGTGCCTTCTGTGTGTCGCTAATATTATAAATAATACATCCAATTAGCCTATTACATGCTGCTGCATTTCCCTGAAGCCCACACATCTGAAAGCCCCAGAGAAACTGCACTTTGAGAGAAATGTTTAGAAATCAATATTGCCCTTATTCTGAGGTCAGTCCTTTGCACTCTTCTCTCTGTCTTGTATGGCAGATGATGTGCCGAGGCTGCCCCTCGCAGCACTGCACAGAATGAGAACGAATACTAAGCTTGTGCTGAGATTTCCAGCTGTGTGGGGAGAATGTAAGATAAGGGCTGACAGGACAGGCTCTGAAGCAGGGAAGATGGAGGGAACCAGTGGGAGGTACGCCTGTGTGCATGGTAAAGGAGAGTGAAGGCCTTTCCAGGAGCTAGCAGGATCTTTCACTTCACCTTCTAATTTTTTTACAGTTCCACTTGTTTAATGTCATATGAATGACACTAGTGCTGAACTGTGACGCAGCTTGCCAGCAGCGAGATGGAGGCCAGCACAATGTGGTCCTTTTCTTCCCAGCCTGCACTTTTCTTTGATACAAGGAACAAAAACTGCATTTCAAAAGAGAAATGGAATCAAATTAGAATCCCCATTAATTAGATTTCCTGCAGTAAAACAAGAAATAAATCAAACATGATCCTGGAAAAATGTTTCTTGCAGTTGCAAGCTTGCATTTCCCCTAAAGAGATACTTGTGCTTGCTTTGAGGGGGTAATGAAACTGTAAACGAAAAGTCATTTGAAAATTATAAATTAGGCTGTGATTATGCCAAGTGATATTAATTATGCTGATAGACTACATAGCAAGGAATTTTAACTGATTCAGTTCTGCCTTCTGGCTTGCTCTGACAAGCAGCAATGTCTTGGGCTTGGTTTGTTAGTGAGCTTCAATAGCACATACTTTCTTACAATAGTAAGAAAGCACAAATTTGCCCTCTCAGTTCCATGTTAGGTTCTATGTGAACATCATCACAGAGAGGTCCACAGTTTAAACAAATTGTATTTGTATCATCTGTACAAGCAGATTTATTTTTGCCCAGTTTTCCGTATCAATAGAGCAGATGGCAGAAAGGAAAAATCATGAGTTTTTTCCTAACGTGTTGAGAACACAGGAATTTGTTTTTTTGAATTGCTGCCTCCTCCTTGCAAAGTTCATTTTAAACCAGACCATTTTAAAACGCCTGGGCGTCTAGCTTGCTTTGCACCTCGGTGGCAGTACCTTTCAGCAGAAATGAAGTGCTGAGCCTCATTTTATTTCAGTGTGTTTTTCTTAAGATCAGGGTGCTATGCAAAGTAATTGTAGGACTGTCTAGTGAACGTAAGGTGAACTGGGAATTAGCAGAGCATCACTGTGCAGTTTTATGCTCTTGACCTGTGGTCTAGCAGAAAAAGGAATGGGACTGTAAAATTATCAGCTCCTAAAATATCTCCTCTGCCTTAGCATGGCAGCTTTTTGCCATTAGGTAATAAAGGTAAAAATAATGTATGAAGTTGTAGTTTCCCTGAGACTTCTATTCTGCAAGAACCACAGACCCAAATCTATCACATGTACGTTCTAAAGGTGAGAATTAAAGACCAGTGGACTGCTAGTGGCTGCCAGTTCAAATGTACTTTATCAGTTCCGATGGGGTACAGTCAGCTCACTCATGTCCTTTCCTTTCCTGCACTGAGAGCACGTCATGGCTTTCTGCTGACACTCGGTGCCAGTGCTGGGTGCACTCTCTATCAAACGCATCACCTCTTCTTGGTCATATGCTTAGCTTTATTTGCAGCACAGAGGCTTCCGTGACAGTTTTCCATTTTCAGCGATGGGTTTGAGTACCCTGCTCAGGTTGAGACTGCATTCTGCTGTCAAGTGAAGGGGCTTTTTTTCTAGTTCAGTAGAAATTCTGCCTGCCGATTGTTTTCAAATCACTTAAATCCAAGGTGATAGAAAATTAACCTTTGGCCTTAGATAACATAAAACCCACTCAAGCATAGCGGGGGACGTAGGCCAGGCACAAGTAATATCCCTGTGCAGGACTCGCAAGGTGATTCACTGGAGAATGGTTGAGAGTTGAATATAGGAATATCAAAATACCATTTATTCAATAAGTGTCTATAGAAAATAGGAACAATAGTTACAATGAAACAGCTAATCTCTAAATTTAATCTGTTTGAATTCTTTAAGCAATTCTTAAGCTTTCTTCAAAAACAGTTTCGGTTTTCAAAATAATAAGGAATCACGAACATTTATTGTGCCCTAGATGATTTTTGACATGCAAAGGTGCTGTTAATTTAAATTCTGCATTTATTCACTCTCAGATGCTTTAACCTAGACAGAGTTTTACTAACTTCCTGAGTATACAGTGGTTTACCATTTGTATTAATCTCTTCTATTTAGTATTTCCTAACAGTAGTGTAGCTTCCATGTCCAAGAAAAAATGGAACTCGGAGCAGAAGCAGAACTGTGCTGCATTTGGATTTCATTGAATTTCTTTTGATTTTAACATAACAATGCTGTGAAGCCTCTGCTCTGTATTACTAGCCAAGCACAGAGCAAGGATTTTGGCTCAGGACGCACAAGGGTAGGTTGCAATTCCTAGTGAAGTATTAGCTCAGGTACATGGTTTTGCTGTTTTGGTGGACTTCACTGCCTGTACAGGTTTCGTGAGAGAAGACCCAGGCAGTGTTGCAGCCTTCTCAGCCTCTTCAGCATCAGGTTGCCTTTTTTAGTTGACGTCAGAATGACAGTTGTCTGAACGGGGTCTGTTACACTTACTGAATTTTGATGAGCACTACTCCTGTAGCCCAAAGTCTGCTACAACAGGTGCATCAAACAATACTGCACAGAGAAACACTTTTTGCCTTTCTCAAATGTCTTTGTCTCTCCTTTCGTGATGGTCGCTCCACCACAGGCCACTGCATGGCTGTTACCTGCACCTGGCGTGGGACTGGCACGTGTTGTCTGCTCAGCAGGTTTTGGTGAGATTAAAGAAAAGCTGCACAGAAGGCAGCCTTAAGATGACACTATGTATTACTGGAAAAGATTCACTGAGCATTAAAGGATACCATATGAAAGCGTAAGGGAGGTTTGCGGTAGGGGTCAGGTAAGACTGATAACCAAGTGCAAAAGAATGTACTTTTTGAGTGCAGGCTAACCAAATAGAGCCTATTTTATGAAGAGATGAGCTAACCACTGTAACTGTCTGTGGTCTGCTTTAAGGTGGTAATGAATACATTGTGTATTACTTTTCTTTGGAAGCTACTGAATATCTTAGGTCCTTTTAGACCGTAGTAACTGATTTATCAGTATAGGATGCTTTTTGTTACTCTGTTACTGTACCCTGATGTGATTCTGGTTTAGCCATCATTCACTTGGAAACAAAAAATAATCACAAGCTTGAATGCAAAACCAAATACATTTTCAAAGACCAGAAAATGGCAGATGCACAAAAAACTTTGTGAATTTAGTGCGTAATAGACTACTGTAGTTAATCTTGAGTTTCTGTAGCACAGGCAATGGATGCCCAGCACCTGCTGGTGGTCAGACCTTTTGGGCAAATGGCAGTTTATGCCCAAGGAGACCTGCTTTTTTCAGAATCGGGCTCGAGTGTAAGCAACCACTAAAAACTTTTCCTCAAAAAGAAATTAAGGAGTTTTCTAAGCCTCCTGCTATGTTTGCTGCAACTCAGATACTGCAGGCTGTGAACCAGATTGTGCCACTCTTATGTAGGTCAAACAGTACCTTGCCTACACAGTGGGGCTGTCTCTTAAGAGTGGAGCTCAAGGTAAATATAAACCACACTGTCTTGTCTGCACAGTGCAGGATAAGGACACATCGTACACCCTGTCTAACCCATGATCCAAATGTGTTTGGAAGGTGTTGCTGCTTCTTAGGAAGCATAGGGTGCTATTGGTCCAGAAACCTGTATTGTTGAGGTTCTTTTCATGTTTTTTTTTTCATTTAATATATGATGCCTACAAGTGTACAAGGGAAAAGAATAAGCAAAATTTCCTGTCAGTGAAATCCTGCTGTTTGTCCAGCCTAGTAAGGAGTTCTTCCTCTTGTCATAAAAATCACTATTTTTTTTTAGCTAGGCTGTAATTATTACTTTTTATAACTTAACTGATTTCTGTAGTCAGATCATCATTTTTACAGTGGGTATAAGCCACCATTTCTTGAGTCTTGTATAGTAATTCACTTCTCTGGTGCTTTAAGAGAGCCCATACTGGCAAGAAAGACAAACACTGACTTGGTAGCCTTTAAGAGTTGTTCTGCATGAATGTAAATAGCATGGGAAGAACAAAGAAAACCAGCCCCCATGTTCTGTATTCCTTGAGGACTCATGGTGGTTCTTAACAAAGAGGGAAAGAAACCTGCTCATGACAGGACACTAAATTCTCTATCCAGAAAAGCATTCCTGTCCCCAGCCCCCAGCACATGCCCTGAAAATGTCACTCACAACCAGCTTTGTGACTTTAACATCCAAACGTTTCAGTTCCATTTAAAGGTAATCAAATTGGTGACTCCCTATTTTCATTTCAGATTTATCTTCCTGAGTTTTATTAAGGTTTTGATTTCTTGACATCTTCTTCACTTTCATTTTTCATTGAGGTTTTCATTAGTGTCCAAGTTGCTTTTAAAATTCAGGATGGAGAAATACTTCCCTTGCCTTAATAGCTCTTGCCCTGAAAGATTTTGCCTTAACAGATACCTCAGATGATGCTTAGCTGCAGGTTTCAGTCACTGCAAGCCAGGGGGCAGCACTCATGTTTTGATTCCTTCGGTATAAACATGGGGTTTTTTGCTTCTCTTCTGAGACTATTTAAAAAAAAGTGTGCAATCCCAGCAGCTCTCAAACCACAGATAAAGTCTTTTCCCTTATCTCAATGACATACCACTTCATACTAAATCTGTCACTTGCACATCCTTGCTGCTCTCTCTCCACAGTGCATCCAGGATGATAGGCTTTGTGATTAACTGGAAAAAGAGCAGTCTCTTCTCACCTTAGAGAATGGGAGTGAAAATAGGCTCAGTGTGGAACACACTTCTGAAACAGTGTATTTTTCATCTCTCTATTGGAGCTGTTCTATAAGAAAGGAGATGGCTTGGGTTTTACTGCATACACATGTGCACTCTTTGTGTTATTCTAATTTCAAGGTGATGTAACATATGTAAAACAAGATGGTTATGAGGTGCCCAGATGGTTTCCCAAGAAAATGAGGTCTGCATGATAAGCATTGGAGTTGCTGTCTGCCCTCATCCAAAAATGTGAATCTCTTTTTCAGGTTCAGTCAAATTTGACCTTAAGTTCATAAAAGCTTAATGAAAACAGGCAGTTGGGTAAAGAGGATAACTGTGTTTTCTTTGAGCCCTGTTTGTATTGTGTACCAGGGAATCCATCTGGGGAAGAGCTCTTATCATGGCTTCAGAAGCAGGGAAAGCTTTGATCAGCGCTCACTGCCAGAGAAGCCAACTGCAAGACACAACACAGGGTTCATTACTGTGCTGTAAATACATCTGTTGTAATAGCTTCATTCCAGTCTGTGATTTGAGTGTAACCTCGGTCAGGGCACTGCCTTGGCTCCTGCGGACACCCGCTCCCAAAGAAGCATCAAGACGCTGCGCAAAACAGGCTGGTCCCCATGTGCTTCTGTTCACGGGAGAGTCTGTCGGAAAGGCCCGGCTAGTGCTTCGTTTTACAGTCAGGCTAGATGGTGATCTGTAAAAACTGCTCTTAAAAAAAAAACACATTAGTGCCCCAGCTTCCTCCCTCTCTGTACATGAGGAAGCACTCAGGCAGAAGGGCAATCCTTGAATTCATAGGGAGAGGACCCACTGCAAGCATTCCTGCTTTGAGGAGAGCTGCTCACACAAATGCAATCCTGGCAGCTTCTGCTGTGCTATGAGGACACTATTTTACCTCCGCTTTTAATGGAAAGGATAAAGTGGAATAGTAATAATGGGACTGATAAATGAAAGGAAAACTGTAACCACATAATTATGTCAGAATCAACTAACAGCAATGAAAAGAGAATGAAACCGCATTATGCAGATAGATGTAACAGAATACTATATTAGCAAGTCCTTTGCAATGGCATGCCTGGCAATTAAGAGAGCAGTATTGGCAGCACACAGTGAAAACAGTGATAATGTATAGTTAAGAATGTTTGGAGACAAACAGTGCATAGAGTAGAGGGACAGCCTGGAACTGAATACAAGAGTGTCCTCAAAGATACCAGCATACAGGGGAAAAACCAAAGATGTTATTCCAAATAGACTGTTTGACTAGGATGTTGGGCATAGTTTGGCATAACTCATATTTATCATAAAATGAATTTACTGGCTTATCCATAAATGAAAGGCTGCAGTGCAGCAAGTGGTATTTTCCAAATATCCACAAATTTCCGGTTGTGTGGGCTAATGGAGGAATTCCATATTTTTTTCTGAATTAAAGAAGCTCGCAGAAATATTCTGATTTAGACAGTAAGAATAGTAGGTAACGTGCCTGTAGTTGCCCCTATTCAGTAAATACTTGGGAATGAGATTGCTCAGCTGTATATTCTTATGTATGTGACATTTCCAGGTGGGGGACTTGAAGAAGGGGTAACCCATTGAGTTTCTTGCTGAAGTATTGGGATTTGTTGTTTCTTCTCATCCGCCATAGAGAGTGAAGATTCGGTTCTATCCTTTGCTCTGCCCACTCTTGCAGAGCAGTTCTCACCTGCAGTCAGGGAGAATTGCACAGGAACAAGCTCAGAGATAACATCAGTGGGATTGAGTTTGCACAGACTTTACATAAAGATACGCTCCACCAGGAACCACTCCATGTGACTGCGGACATCTAAGGGAATACAACCAGTGGAGATTTTTTTGATGTCAACGATGAACATGCTGGAGAGTTTGTACTCCCCTTATTTTTTTCATCATGCCAGGCAGACTTCTGAGACATGCTACAAAGAGACCTTGCTTGCAGGAAACCAGCATGGAACCTTTACATAGTTATCCTACATATTGTTTTCTGCCAGATGCATGCAGATTTTCTTGTCGCTTTATTTTTGGAGATGGCAGAACTAGTGTGAAATGCAGATAACGAGAGGTCATTAGTGTTTGTGCCCAAAGCAGTGCCTTCCTGAGCTACTAGAAAGCAAAGGAAGGGAGAGTGTCTGCACTTTAATTACAGAAGCCAGAAAATATGCTTATAAATGAAATTCTGTCAACAACTGAAGTACTAGGGTTGTGCAATTAATGAAATCTCTGCCAACACAAGATTTATGATGACCAGGAGACATGGTTTTACTTAAATAGAGAATTGAGACTTGTGTCCACAGAAGGCTAAAGCATTTAATTGTACTATGAATGTCTATATTTACTTGGGCTATTTTTTTCTCATACTTTATATGTGGAAATGTTAATGGTTACAGAGTACTTTTCATGAGAGAAGAGTATTATTATCTCCATTTTCACATGTGAAGAGACTGACACCCAGAAATTTGGAGTACCCTAGGTGAGACAGCAATTCCATTCCATTGCAGTGGGGGAGTTAAGAACCTTTTTGTGTCCTAATTGGGTACAGTATTTACTGGATCATGCTGGATTTAGTAGCACAATAATTTAGCAACTGATAGTATTAAACACATGTTTTTTCATCCTTTTATTTGAAGCTGGAGGATCATACTCCTTCTTCACTAGAGAAATAACTTCAGTCCATTGTGTTTTATTTATTCTGTCAGGACATGCACTTTTGACATGCACTGAACATACAAGCCCTGTTACCGTTTTTACCTGCTCTTGACTTTGAAGATTTAGCTTATATGTTTGCCTTTAAAGAGTGTCATTAGGAATATTCTTGTAGTTGACAGTACTACTGCTGAGCTCAGGGCATGCTTCTGGAAGATACCTCTCAGACACTTTTACGTTCTTGCTGCCTGCTTTCACAGATCCATCAGCCAAAACATCGCTAATGATATGAACTTTTAATTTCACAGATGAAGGAACTTGGCATCATCGTATACAACTGTAGCTGCCTGGTCCTGGATTTACAAAGGATATTTGCCCTCTACAGCTCACTGAGATACAAGAATAAAATACCACCAAGCTGGTCTAAGAGACTGTATGGAGTGTATGATACTCAAAATAAACTGACATTGCAGCTGAACGAGACAAAATCAGAAGCTTTTGTGTCGGTAAGTTCTGAAATGAGTTGCAGAGAGGGAGGGGAGGAAAGAAAATTATTTAACCCACCAGATTTTTGGAAGGGCTAGAAATTGAACATCATCTTATTTTCCTAATATATCCTTTATGAAGAACAAAGTATTGAGACCAGGTTAGGCAGGCGTTAGCATCTACAAAAGTGTTACCGAGTGTCTTTTCATTGATAAAAGAGATGATCACAGTTCCCTGCAGTAAGTCCGACATAATGCTATGTTCTGTAAGTACCTATTAGGGAAAAACTACCCTGGGAAGTAATTTCTGTGAAAACAAATGTTTATGGTGTATATTGAGCCTATACTTAACTGTTTCTCTAAATTGGCCCTAACAGAAGAGGATGCACATTACTGCTATGTCCTTAACCAAAAGCAGCTACTGAAATTGAGATTCATGTGAGTGACTAGAAAATCAGCTACAGAGACCACCAGAGCTGTCACCTATATAAGACAGAATTTGTTTGATAGTCTCATAATGCTGGAATAACAAATTATTGTCTTGTCTGGGACAAGCTATTCCAATAGGTATACTTTTGTGGGCAAGTCTGTAACTGAAAGGTTCTGAAGAAGCTATTTGCCTTTTCTTGTGGTGCTGAACAGGCAAATCGCAATAATTATTTCTTTTATTCTGATTCTTTGGCATTGTTCACACAAGAAATTTGCCAGACCTGGAGATGCTGCAGGATTTCATTTGAGCACTGGCTTCTTTCCCTGTAATGTTTACCACTTGCATGCAAAAAAATGATAGGGGGGCCCTTCAAATTAGGTTATTTGCTCTAGTAGATAGAAAGTGAATGACTTGAGAGTAAATGATCTGCTAATCAGATATATAAAATGATACAGAATAAGCTTGATATCCATGAAATTTATAAAGATTAGTTACCTTCACCCTGTTCCATTGAAAGCATTCATACTTCTGGAGAACATTATCTACTTTAGCTCTATTTTTAAACTACATTTTAAATCTTCTAAAATTCAAGCAACAGTCCCCATGGAAGCACTGTCTCTGTATGTATTTTTACTGGGAAGAAATGAAGCACTCCTCCACCTCAGCAGTGATGTAGCAAAACTGGAAAAAGTACACAGAGTGATAGCGATGATGAAAGATGTGAAGTGTCTTTCATTTTGGAGGAAATTACATGAGTAAACCCAGGAATATAATGAAGTTGCCAAAAGTTATTCACTGCTCTATATAAAGCAGGGGGCAAAACCCCATCATTTTATAGCCAATTCTGCCTAAACCAAGACATGTAGCACATCGTTAAGTTGTACAGTCAGTAATAGCACAGATGTTGGTGCAGATGAGTGGTTATACAGGGCAGGGTTTATCCTCACCTGCTGGGAGCCAGCCAACATTAAGCTGTCCAGGATTTTTTGTACTCCTACTATCAGTTATGAGACAGAGCTGGTTTAGAGTGGAAATGTGGAAGTGCTGAAGACAGCCATAATTAATAGCCATCTGAAAAGACACATGCTTCCATTGATTCTGGAGAGTCTTAAGGACTAGCTTAAATTAGGGACTGACTTTCAGGCAGTTCGCTAAGAAGCTGTGAAATGAAAGCCTGTTCTCTTCTTAGCAATCTGTAAGAAATGAAGAAATCCTGCTGAAAGCCAGTCCTGGAGGGGCACACAGTGAGGAAAGCTGGGTACAGCCAACTTAAGGAATCTGGGATCCTAGACAAAGACAGTTGGAGAGAGACTCTACAAAAACTGCTCCTCTGCAGTTGCAGACCCTTTACTTCCTCCATGTAATTTGTATTTTCCTTTTGTGCGGGCAACAAAATCCTCTTCTTGAAATACCACTTCAGAAAAAACAGTACTCAGAAGCTCGATCGGTGAAGTCCAACCTTAAGAGCTGCTTGTAATTTGTAGCCACAGCCAGTTGGGCTGGTTCTTCCTTCCTTGATAACAGGCTCTTCAATAAATTCCTGATCTGCTGGCAAGTTCTCAATGTTTGCCAGCATGCTGCTCTGAAAGCCAGTCCTGGAGTTGCAATGGACTGGTTTGGTAGACCAGGTGTTAACTGCTGTCTGTTCCTGAACTAATGACAAATACAAGGTCTCCACAAGCCAGGCAGTTCACTTACTGCCATCGTGGCCCTGTCTGTGCCTACCCAGAACTGCACCATTCACACCCCTAAACCCACATTACCTCCCTTTTGGTCTGCCCCCTGAGCAGAGGTAAGACAAGGTACTGTTACCCAGTGAGAATAACAGCCTGCTTTGGCAGGTGAAGAGAAGTATCAAATGGGTATTTGATCAGAACAGCAAGTACTATAGAACTGCTATGGAGAAAAGTACTAAAATACTCAATGACCGGGGGGGGGGGGGGGCTGTTCCACCGGGTAACAAGTGGAACGCTCAAACACAAGTTGTTACAGTGAGAGCTTTAACAGAAGTTTTTCTTTTAATTATCTTGTAAAGGTCATTCACTTTCCAGTCTTTATATTGAATGCATCTGAAAAAGACAAAGCCTAAGAATTCCTTTCTTCGGCTGTTCTGTAACTTTAAACTTCTATTCAAGAAAATAGTAAGAGTGTAAGAACAAAATCTCCATGCAATAGCCTAAAAGTTTCAGATAATAGACATAAATTATATTTAACAAAATCACTGTATGCTTTGTCTTGAGTTGCAGCTCATTCTTTGAAAACATATTTCACATTCAATATTTGTGCTGTATAAAGCAAGAAGCACAACACACTGTCACTGTTTTTGTTTTTGTTTTATACTCTGGAATCATGGCTTAGTGTTGCTTGGCAACACAGTCATCTCCCAGACTGGCCTATAAAACGTAAGAGGTTTTGGTTGTTTTTATTAGTGTTCAGGAATGGATCTGGAATACTGGTCTTGAAATCTTGCTACAGTTAATTTTCCAGTATTTTTTGAACTTAATTGTAGTAAATCCTTAAGAACACCAGTCAATGATTGGGAAACCAATACGACAGACATTGTATTGAAAGATAGACAGACTGATCAGAACCCCAGGATCTGTCCCTAAAGCAAACACATCTACATCTGATGTAAACCTGATCTACATCTCAGCTACAACCCAAGCAGGTAACAAAGGTGAGGAGGTGATACAGCAGCAGGAAGGCAGTGGTCTGCCAGGTCCAGCTGTCAAGGAAAAAGGGTAAGTGGCACCTGCTGTAGCTCAATAAAGTGCCTTTAACAACTTCTACTCCCAAGAACTGTGTTGCTGCCCACAAGCTTTTCCCCACTCAGGCACAAGAGCAGAAGGTCCTGGGCCTCTCTGCCACAGACAGGCAATTCCTGCCAGCTTCACTTCCTGATACATTCAACAGCCCTAGCCACAAAGCAGAAAAGCTGAAAGCTGGGCTTACCTCTTACTGGTGTTAGTTTATACCTGAAGGTAGGTTTTAAAGATCAGTTTCTTGCAAAACTGCAGCATCTCCCTGTGACAGTGATTGAGCGTGGAACTTTAAACAGAACTGACATAATAGACATAATCCCTGGTCCCAAGTGATGGATCAGGCTTGTGTGGCAAGCACACAGATATTACTCTAATAGTAACCAGTCCTGGGAGTCTATGGAACAAAATTCTCTGAAATAGAACTTGAAGGAGAGTTCGATTGATGACAGTGGATGTCTTCAAGTTTGTGTCTTCCACATTTGACCCACAGTTACATCTAAATGGTGAGGCTTTCAGGGGGAAGTTAATCAAATACGTCTCCTTTGTTCCTTTGAGTATTCTAGCGAGACAGTTGAAGGTATCAGTTAATATTCTCTACTAAAATAAATGATACTACTTGCCATATCAAGAAGCATGAGAGGAAGAGAAAATAAATCACTTATTTTAAATGCCATATTTGAACTTTTTCTTTCACAGAATTCACCTAAACTCTTCTGCCCAAAGGACAGAGTCCTGGATATTGAAGCTATATACAGTGTTATCGATGATGCAAAACAGTTTGTATACATAGCTGTGATGGACTACTTGCCGATCGTCATTGACACCAATGCTAAACGGTGAGTGTCTGTGTCCAGGACGAGCAGGTTCTCCTAATGCAAATAAGGTCTGCTGAAGAAAATGAACCCACACGGGATTAGTTCCTACTGTGGGCCAATTTCCTGGGGCCCAATTCTGCCCTTATTGAAATCAGTGAGAGTTCTGCCATTGACTTAAATGGGAGCAGAACTGGGACCTAAGAAGACGTTTCCAGTTCTGGGTCCTAAGCTTTGGATCTGCCTTTTGAAGGAGATCAGAAATTGTCTAGTTTGACCATCTGCAAGTGACTGGGACCCAGGAATACAAGAACCTGCTTATACATGAACCCTGTCTCTTACACTATTATATTCACTGTATTGATACCACAGATGCTGGCATTTTATGAGTATATCATACAGATATTCAATGAGAGAATGAGTGTTTCTGTGTGTGTTGAGAAATAATGAGAGTTCTTGTATACAACATGGGAGATGCCATTATTTCATTGAAAAAGGCATATAAATTCCAAATTCAGCATAGATGACGTTTGAATTATATGACATTTTGGTTAACTGAGAGTTGCTAAAAACAAACAAAACCAAGTAATAAAGACCCTGTTTAAAATGGACCATAAAAAAGTACTCATGGCCCAAAACTGGGGCCATAGTGTAATAAACCGTCCAACTCAGAAGGCAAGTATCCAGTGTTTCCTCTGACTCTTAGTGACACAGTAAATTGAGCATCTAGCAAAGCTCACCGTTCCATCCCTGTACTTCATCTGAACAGAGTTAAGTGGAACTAAACACGTGGTTAGGTTCTTTCTTCCAGTTTTACATAATTAAAGATGCTTTGTTCAAATTTGCAGAAAAATACCTATAATTTTCCCAGTAAACTTTTTGCACAGCCTCTCTCACAGTGAAAGAACCATGGGCAGAGCTGCAGGAATTTCAGGTTCACAGTGTGCATCCCTCACATTTCTCCTTCATGTTGGAAATGATCTTACTAGAAGTGTTACAGTATTGCAGTTGATGTTGTCTCCTACACTCCTTCTCCATTCTCATGCCTGAAGAATTCAGAAATCTATTGGATTAGGGAGATCCAGGGAAAATGTGTGAATTCTTAACATTCTCCCTACAGCATGGCTTTGTGTTAGAGCCACTGCCACAGCTCCTCTACCTTGTCAGCTCCCAGTTCTCACTTGTGAGTTATTTTTTGGCATTGTAGAGCTCAGATTTCATTAGGCCGAATGCCTTGATGCTGCTGGAATAAAGAAAATGTGTTTTCTTTTGTCTCATTCTGCCTGTCCTGACCTGCTCCCACCAATGGTCAGGAACACAGAGCTAATTCGTGATTGTGAGAATAGCACCATGGATGCCACCATCCCATTCATGGCAGAATTTCTGCAGTCCTTATCAGGAAAAAAAGGTAGTATCCTCCTTAAATGATCCATCTTCATCTACTACTGAAGGATGCCAGCACCCTGTGTAGCAGAAGTTCTCCTTTTCCCAAGCAAGAAGTTACAAAAGGCATTCCAGTCCCTAGTCTGTATGCACTCAGTACAGAGGAAGAAAAGTTACTCAAGGAGGGAGCCAGTGTTCTTGTTCCCTTACTTGTGCAACCAACAGTAAATCCTTCTTGTCCCTCTGCCTGGACTGGGTAAACAGCACCCTCTAGCTGTAGCTCATCCTGAGATTCTGTGGCACCATTAAGTGCTCCACTGCTCTCACAGTGACAGAGGAGTAACCCTCCCCTCTACAGGCAGACAAGGTACTGCATTTTGTGCAAGTGTTTTGGCAGCTCTCCGTGCCCCTACACACGTGGAAGATGTGCTCAACCTCACGGTCCCCACAGTGACAATTTTGGTGCAGGGCAGAATGACACAAAAAAGGGATTATGGCGGATCTGTTTAGTGAGAATCCCTTTAAATGAGAGCAGTATTCCTCCAACAGATAGAAAATGAAATTCGCATGTGTTTTGTTTTCTCTATGATGTCCAGACTTGGCAGTGTAGAAATCCAGGATATTTTTAAGTTCTCTGAATATATTGTATTCTTTCTTCACAGGTACTGGCCATATTTAGATGGGAAGATAAGAGAAGCGTTAGTATTACGAAGTATTAAAGTACGACTTCTCATCAGTTTCTCAAGAGACACAGATCCCCTTACTTTTAACTTTGTTTCATCTCTGAAAGCTATTTGCACTGAAGTTCCAAGCTGTAGTTTGAAAGTTGTAAGTATAATCCATATTGCTTTGTAATACATTTCCCTCCCCTCCAAAAACCAAGAAAACGTCACAACTGGGAGGTGTTTTCTGTTAGTATCAAAGCATTTGAATTAGATTAAATAACACAGGAAATGTAACGTAATGAACTGATTTTTTTCCTAGTAGTGACAACTACAGAAATTAAAGCAAAACAACAGAATCATGCCAAAAGGCAGTCTGTGTGGTAAAACACTACATCTGGTCTTTCACTGCAAAGCTAATAGAGTGAACTGTGGTCATCTCTTGTTTATACTGGCTGATGTATGTGACTGCACAAAAATGAGTTTTAGTTGGGATTCATGCAATCTTACTGTTCAGCTGTGTAAGCATCTACTATTCCTTTAGTCAAGTACAAAGTACAAGAAAAAATAATGAAGATTTTACATTAAATTCAGGCTACAGATCAGAATTGTGAAGACTAGAACCACCATTATGTGACCACTTTAGACATGCAATACAGGGAAGTGAGAAATACCATATCTGTTACATTTGTATTAGAGAAGAGAGTGTCTGGTAAGTACCAATTTAAACTTGATACAGTTCAGTTTAATGGAATTGAGGCACACTGGCAATCAAAAATCTTGGATCAATTCATCATGGATGAATTCCTTTTTTTTTTTGGGGGGGTGGTTTGGTTTTCTGTTGTTGGTTTTTGTTTGCATGGGTTTTTTTTAATAACTGTCTTAATCTGCTGAATTATATGACTTCTTAAATTGACAATCCACTAAATCATTTTGACTTTTTAAAATCTACACTTGTTAAAGTAGTATTAGTGTTAGACACACAAAGTGATATTTATGCATATCTAGAAATAGGGATTTTTGTTGTAATGTACACTGTATTACAAGCTCCCTAGCTAAGAAACAGCATAAAGTGTGGTTTTAAGTCAAAAAGCCAATACATGGCTGAACTACTTAAGCCACTTCAATTTTGAGTATTTTCTAGCTTGTTCTGTGTTTATCATCAGAATTCTATTTATGTATTTAAAATTATTTTTTATTTAAGTGCACCTAATGCTCTACGTAATCATACCCATTTCCATCTATTTGCAGCAGGTAGAATCTTTAGTACAGAATTTATCTCATCAAGAACTAAATGCTAAAAGAAAAAACAACCCACAATCTAGACATCTCTTCTAGGTAGATATTCTAGCTAGAATATCTGCAGGTAGGAAATACAAATACCACTTCCAGTAAAAATAAGACTGCCCCAGATTTAAATAGTTGTAAAGATACAGTGCACCTCAGTGATCTCTGTGCTGCGCATCATGTGTTCCACACACTGGGTAAGTCACTGCCTTAAACAAGCCTTGGTATGAGTAATAGCCTGACACTTGGGAGTTTACGGGTATCTGCTTGATTTTGGCTGAAACTGTGAACAGGCTCTGTCATGACACTCCTTTACTTCACAAAAAGATGCAAGAAAGATGAGTACTATTTCTTAAAAACTCCATTGCTTTTGTATCTTGACATCTGTCTATGGTCAAAGTGAAACAAAAGTGGGATGTGGAGGAATAGGAGAACAAGGTGAAAACTAAATTTAAATCTTTTGAATTATTGGAAAATTTTTCTTTTCCTTTTTGGTTCTCCTTTGGGCATGAGCAAACATAAAGTGAAACTAAACTCTGTACAGAAAATGCTGTCATGCAGATGTGTTGTATGTGTTTATACACAAGAACACTGAAATATTAAGAGAACTGCAAGTTACAAATTCAAATAAAGTGTTATGAATTAGCTATGAAACCTCTTCTCCTAAGCACTAATTTAATTTTAAAGCTCTAAACTCCTAAAGTAAGAATAGAAAAAATTAATAAAATGTTAGCAGAAGGTGGTGTATTGTTAACACAGTACTTCTGCTGAAGGCGCATGTTGGAGAATGTTAGGCTGTGCTACTTGATGCCAGTGCTGGTTTACTTGCTCATCTAAGGTATATGTGCGTATCGTCTTTGTGAGGGCAGATAGGTTTCCCTACTGGTATCTGTACTGTCAAGCACTAAATAGCTTCTCTGCTGTTGCTGGAGAGCACGTTACATTTTCAATCCCCTTCTTCCTGAATCTGAAGTTTTCTCTTACAAAGTTGTAATACAAACAGAACACTAACGTATGATTTTTCCATTCAGCACATCTGCTGAATCTATTTAAATTTGACAACTCTAAGCTTATACGATTATTGTGCTTGACTATTTTCACATGAAGGTATGTAAATTTTTGCGAATTCTCCTAACACTGGGGAGATGACAAGTTGTTATGTTTTGGTTTCTAGCATTGAATACTTCACCCATTTGCACATTTACACTATTCTTTGCAGTATTAGTATGTTACTCATCCCTGTGTGAGTCCTGTCCTTGACTGTTGCCCTAGCTGTCCATCTAGGGGACACCCTAAGCGCCCATCAACTGTGCATGTGTGTTCACAGACACTGTGCACACCTGTCTCCGTTCCCATTTTGGTGCACCAGGAAAAACATACCCATTTTCTTCTGGCTTTATCCAGAAATTCACAACCTTTCAGATCTCTGGCTTGCCAAGTGCCCCTACTTTCTGTGCTGGGCACATGCTTGCAGCGCAGTTTCTCAGGCACACAGTCTTGATGTTGTCCAGGAACTAATCCCTAGTATCTAGTAAACCTTCCTTTACAGCTGTTAAGATGGTTTGTTCTAATTTCTTAAAAAGTGGAATGCAGTAACTGCTTTAAATGCAGTAAAAAGCTTTAATTAAAGATATGATTTCTTTACTGTGAGGTTTGTGAGTCACTGGAACAAATTGCCAAGGGAGCCTGGGGCTGCCCCATCCATGGCAGTGTCCCAAGGCCAGGCTGGATGAAGCTTTGAGCAACCTGCTCTAGTGGGAAGTGTCCCTGCCCATGGCAGGGGAGGTTGGAACTGGATGATCTTTAAGGTCTCTTCCAACCCAAACCATTCTTCTATGGTTCTATGATAAATCTCACAGGACAGATAATACAGTTTTACATAGAATAATCTTTTCTAGTGACCTTCATGAGGCAATCACTCAAACAGTTCAGGTTGTTTGGCTTGGTTTTGAATTAAAAACAAAAACTGTATTTGGAATTCTGCTAGTATTTGAACTCATGACAAGCATTAAGCTGTGCAAGATAACAAGGCCATGTACAGGTAAGTAAGCATGCAGTGACATACCAGATCAAGAGGCTGTTTATGGAAACAACTTTTTCATAGTTACTCATCGTAAGTCTGTACCATATTACCATCCAGTATCAGGGCACTTGAAAAAAACACAAGCTCTTTTAGTTTTAATCAAGCTGATGATGTAGTCAACCACACACATCACTACATTTCGATAATGAATTTAATATTTTACAGTTGGGCTTTCAAAGTAGCAATATTATTCTGAAAGACATCTCCATAACCTAAAAAGATTTGTTCCAGGTTTGTATCGAAAAGAGCATGGGTTCAACAGATGAACTTTGCATTAAAGAAAACAGACCCCCAAGAATGATCATGGAGTTTTGGGGTGGTGTTTTTCTAATACTATTTTTTGATTTCTTAAGTGGGTGCACTGTATAGCCCGTTACTTGTACCAGTGACATGCTGTGAATTAGGTTTTTTCTGAGCATCTACACCATCACCTCACTCACAGTTTCCCAGTAATGCATTAAATATTTAATTTTCCTTCAACATGTTACTCTCTGCTTATGGTTTTAGAATCTCTGTCTGTGTATTGCTTTCCTTGATGAAACAAACAATACTTACATTTGTACTGGAAAAATCTCATTTTTGTCTGCTGCTGATGTAGACAGGAGGTACCTGTAGCTCCAAAATAATCAAACAAACAAAAACACCCTAAAAAATTAAAAAATCTTATTGGGACTTCACCCTTTAAGGTAAACCAGATGTATTTTCCTCCTATTGTCTGGAAAATTTGATCTTTCCATATCACATTTAATCCTGAGAAGTTTCCAAGTTTCTGAAATCAGCAGGTTTCCAATTGAAAACTGCAATGTGAATATAAAGATATTAATTCAGTTGTTGGTGTGCCTGCCAATCTGGGTCATGAAACAGACTTCAAACCCCAATCTCCCTCAGTGACTGAGGAAATGAGCTAAAGAAAAGTTCCTGGCTCTTACCATGCAGAACACGAAGATGGGGATTTTCTGGTTCAATCCACAGCCTTTACTACCTGGCACAGTTTTACTTTTAGCATGCAAGAGCCATGCACTTTGTATAGCTCAGAATACCAAGGCATAACAAATATTATAAACTATAAGAACTTACTCAGCAATACAATGTGTAGTGTTTTATTAAAATTAATGCTTGGCTATAAAAACTCAAGCTGTTCTGTAGCACTAACTCATTTTCAATAAAGAGTAGAGAACAGACCGTATTTTTTTCTGTCTGTTATGGAACGGTTCTTATTAACCTGCAGTCCATTCTATTTTGTGGCAGAAATTCTTTGACCTTGAGGAAGAGAATGCGTGCTTTCTTAAAGAACAGAAGAACACTTCCCTTCCCAAATTAAATCGTAACAAATATATGGTGACTGATGGAGCTGCGTATATTGGTAAGTAACCATATCTCAAGAAATTCTAGTTTGTAGCCAAAAGCCTGAAGTATCACCCATTTGTAAATGAGGAAGCTACAGCTGACATGCTTAAGCAATAGTTAATTTCTTTCCTAACCTGGATAGAAACTGAGCTTTCGGCTTCTTCTCGTTTACAAACTTCTCCCCCTTCCCCCAGGAATCAGTTTCTCAAAAGCAAGAGTCTGCTTTCAGTGTTTAAAAAGAGCCTGAGAATACAAATACAGCACACTTTATGAAATAGGCATAAATTGGCATATTAACATATCCTGTTTCTACAGTCCAAAGAAGATGCACAGATCTCCACTTCCCATGTTATTACTAAAGGTGTAAATACTGTTGTACAGATGACTTTCATCCTCACCTTCTGAAGTGTTGTTCCATTTACTGCAATGGCATTTCAGATACCCTCTTAACAGCAGGTACAGATCTAAATAGTAATTGAGGTTAAAGGTGTATTTAAGTAAAGTCTCTAGCAAAAGTTCATTATCCATCAAATGCTTACTGAAAACAGGCTGATAACTTACTTCCTCTTAAAAAAATATGACTGCTTGAGCTGTGCGTGAGCTGCAGGATCAGAAAACTGCAACTGAACTGAAAGGTAACTCATGAGATTTTATAAAGCTAAGACAGAAAAAATGCATTCTAATAGGCTGCAGCTTGATACTTTACTAGCTTAATTACTCACTCTCACTGCAAAAGGCTTAAAGCCAGCAATTGCAGAGGCAATGAGTGAGGGCAAAGGCTGCAACCCAGGAGCATTCTGCCAATGCACACGCAGGGATGCAGAATCCCAAGTCATGCAGAGATACAACCAAGAGCTACTCTGAAAAGCTCACCTTGCTGGGCTCTAAGCACACCCACCCACCTACCCTGCTCTCAACCTGTCCAAATCTTATTTTTCACTTCCAGTAGTGCAGCTTATTCTTCTTGTCTCCCAAATGTTTTGAGTCATTGTGTGTGTATTTTTTTTACTCTATTTTAAATTCCTTCCAATAGCCAGATCAAATTTCAGTAACTTAGAACCTGTCTACACAGCATGGATTCTTAGCTGAGCTGGTTTTTTTCTTTCCCATTGTCCTTACATACTTACATATACATAAATGAAAGAAATACATACTGAAAGCTGTGTACAATGCAAATATATGTTAAGGACTTGATACACCTTTTACTTGAAAGCTTAGGAAGAAATGTCCCATATGATGAGACTTAGAACTCTTTTCTGCTGAAGTAGGTGAAATGATACTGAAATAAAAGGAATAAATTTCTCAGATACCTTACTGTTTATGTATGTTCAGATGTTATTTTAAAAGCTGACCTCTACTAACAGCATTTTTTTTTCTCCAAAATACTGCATATGTTGTAAATGTACAACTTAAATAGTTCTAGTTCTAGTGAAATAAAAAGAAATAAATGAAACACTTGGTTTACCTGTTCTCCGTTAATCCAAGTAACCTCTTTGCCTTGTGATCACCAGGATTTGGAAAGTTCGTTTGTTACCTTAGATTTCAACAAAGGCGATAATAACTGGCATAAAGCAGTAAAACCTGCTTTTCTTTCCTGAAGCAGTATCTATCAATGGGTAACTTGCGTAAGACAGATCTATTGGTTTGGGTCAGCACTGCCATCTACTTTAAATTATTTATACAGGAAAAAAGCAAAATCATTCTTAGCACTGAAAAGGCTGATAAGGAAAGTAGATGGCGTAATATTACACTATATGCAAATAGGAGAGCAATTTAGTTCTGAATAAATAAAAGAACCTGGTTTCACTTCTTATGAAGGATTAGAGCTGTTAAACTTCCAGAAACTCTGCACTGCACACTGGTATGTAATGGAGTTTTTTCTTTCCTGCTAGTACAGAAAACTTACTTCTGCCTGTGCCCAGGTAGGCACTGGGACAAATTATACTGTATCATGCTGGATTGGCTTTGGGGAGATCGTTTTTTTTTTTTTGTTTTCTTTTTAGTGTCAGAAACTCATTGTAATTTCCTGCCTTTACTCGTAGGTAATTTTGATTGGGTAGGCAATGCTTTTACACAGAATGCTGGAGCTGGCCTTGTTATCAACCAAGCAGACGCGGGAAACAGCACGAGCATCATTAAGCAACTCAAGGCTGTTTTTGAAAGGGACTGGTATTCACATTATGCCAAAAGTTTACAACCAACAAAAATCCCAAACTGCTTTAATCACAAACTTAATAAAGTGACATCAAATAAGACTGCCATGAGCAATGTGAATTAGAAAGACTATTTTACTGTTTAGTATGGCGATGAAGAAATGACGCTGGGCTGTAGCCCTCTTTCTTTCATATTTACAGACAAAAGACATAAAAAGCAAAAAAAAAAAGTTTGGTGGGGGGGTGTTTTTAGGAAAAAGCACACTTATATAAAAACTGTCTAAACTATATTCTCTATATTGAATTATTTAAGATTTTCAAGTTTGTAACTTCTGACACTGAATGTCATTTCTGCTTCCACGTTAATTTTAATGTTCTGTGTTTTAATTTAACAGCATGTGTCAATTTTTCTGTTTCAGTTTTAGGATTTTCCCTTATTGCAAACCCGGCTAGAACAAACTGTGAGGCAAAATCAGGATTCATGCTATGAAAGGCAGAATTCTAACATCAGTTATTATTAATGTTCAAGTAGATGGCAGGTTTACTGTGTTAGAAAACATAACAGAATAAGCAAACTTTCACCATACAAATCATTCCTTTTAAATAAATAGCCAGTCACTTGAATGCTTCCTTATTTGAGCATTTAGTTTGAGTATCACTCCTCCATGTCTTCAAACTAGCCTTAAAACACATGAGAGTTACATGACTGGTAATTCATTTATCTATCTAACTAGCTCCTAAATGTATGAGAAGGTATTGGGGTTGGTCTCACCAAATTCATCATAATCCCAAAACCCTTTCAGATAAATGGATTTTTTTTAATCAAAGTAATGTGGATTCCTTTCAACATAATAGTGATTGCAAATGGTGTATGTTTCATCTAACAAAATCTCTGGATTAATAGCAAAGACCTAGGACTGAATTTTTTTGGTTTTTTTTTTTTGTAATCTCAAGGAAATGTCTTCCCCAAGTTTAATATTTATCACGTGAGAGTCAGCAGTTGCGCGATGACTCATTATCACGTTATCATATTTTATAGATTATGCATATATAAAAAACTCAAATACTGCTTTTTAGGAAGGTCAAGGGTTATGCAAAATCATGCAATTGTTGTTAAATGTTCACAGTCATTTTGTTTTATTTTACACCTAACTTTTACTTAAAAAAAAAAAACAACCATGAAATGGCACTTCACACACACTGTCATCCATCAGCACAAACAGAAATAATTTGCTCTTAAACAAAAAGTTGCATATAGATGTTTGACAATGATTTTTCTCTAGTCAGAGCTGTAATAGCTTCGTTTCATAATAAAAATGTTTCATTACTATCCCTCTGCTTCTGTGGAACAAATACAGCCATGAAAGCAAACTGTGTTCTGCTGGTTTTAAAACTTTCACAGAACTTTTTGTAAAATGCACACTTTTTGCACCTGGCTGTATGTATGAAGGCACACTTCAAAAGCAGAAGAAGGAAAACCAACCATACCCCAAGGTACTACTTTAATCTTAAGAACAAGTTAAAAACTGTGACTTTCAAAACACTGGTTTCATTTACAAGGTCAAAGAAAGTTGACATTTATTTTAAAGGAAGCACAGCTTAGGAAATTCTAATGAGGTAACATATGCACAACTTCAAATTGCCAGCTTAGACACACCACAAAACCAGTTATGATCACAAAAGGCACACTTTTGACAAAGAATAATTGTTTCTTTTGCAATTGCCAAGATTTACATCATCTTACTGAAAACAGTTACATAAAAATTAAAAGTTGTCAACTTATACGGAACAGATTCTGCATAGCCCTACTGCTTAATAACATTCTCTAATACTCAGGCACACGTGCTGTTTATCACCTCCCCCCCCCCCCCCCCCCAACAGAAAAGCATATACTCTTGACATTCATGTAAGAAATAAGTGAAGGAAGGATCTTTGTGAAGAGTGATTTGTGTATTTTCTTCTTTCTGTATATAATTTAGAATATGTACAGCAGGTATGGGAGAGTGATCCCCAGCACTTAATTTACTTGGTGGGGTTTTTTTGTTTTGTTTAAGAAACAAGTATTAATCCATACTGAATTCTAGTGAAAATTTCAAACGAGTTATACCACCATTGAATTTAGTCTTGAGTCAAAGCTAAAGAATACCAAATCAAACAAACAAAAATCCACCACATATTTAGAAGCCAGTTATTTGTAAAGCTTCTGACACCCCCAGACATGGGTGATCTTAACGCTTGATATAAACTTAATACTTAGTCCTTAGATAAGATACAAAAACACCCCAACCAAACAAAAAAACCCCACTGTCCAGCATTGTTAATTGTAACACCTGATGGCAGTAACATACAGGAATGAATCAATGTATTTTTTTCCCTCTTGCATTATGGATACTAGAAGTGTGTTAAGTATTTTAAGACATCTTGTAATGTGGAGGTGATAACGGAAGATCCGAGTGGAAGGGAACTCTGTCAGATGATGAAGCTAAGCCATCTGTTTACAAAATAGGATTTAGTGATGAAATCAGACTGGAGTTACCACTGACCTTCTACTTACTATATCCAATGAATGGGCCAGATGTAGTAGTTTTACTGGACAGATACTAGGGAAATACAATCATGAATGTTAGCGAGATGCATTCGTTTACAAATGTATTCTTACTGGCCTGATAAACAAATACTGGTGCTTCAATGATGCCCCCAAAAGCAATGATATGTAAATGTACATTTTAAAAGTGCATTTTGTTGAGGTTTTATGAACAGAAAAGTTTTGGGTTTTTTTAAACAACTTTTGATGTATAATAGCAGTCAGCCATCCTACATACAGACTGGCAGACTCAAGTTTCAGATATTTTACTAACTGTTTAGAATGGCAGCAGCTCCAAAGTAGTACAGAAGGCTCTGGTCTGTTACCTTAGCCAAAAGACAAAGTGCATCCTTGGACTTCAGCAAGTAGGAAATTAAAAATACCAGATTATTTTTTGAAGTTGTTTAAGGGGATTATACTCAATTATTTGGTTTGGGTTAGCACTGTTACTGTTTGACTAGATTTGCTGTAGCAGCCTTGATTTTGGCTTCAGATCTTTTTACCACTGTAAATAAATCTGGAGCAAATCCATTATAGAGCTTGCACATGGGTTTAGCAGGGATCAGAATCGAGACCTGCTTGCTTCCTCTTGCTTTAGCTCTCCTGTGTAACACCGTTGCATGGGCTATTTCCAAATTTAAGGATCTGCATTCAGTGGTTTCTCACAGACCCCACAGGCATAATCCAAAAGATGCACTTTCTCTAATCCCCTTGTAACTGGCATTGGTAACTCTGTTGTATTAAAGGCAATTTCCTAAACAGAATGGCTTTATTCTTAAAGAATACAGACTGTAATTGTTGTTTGCTGCAAACATTTACTAGTGCCTTATTCATACAAGCTTTTGTTTAACTGCCTCTCACATGAAGTTCTGCTAAAAATGTATCTAGTACTGCAGCATACAGCAACCTTCCTGAGACTACATATTGTGTAGTCTACAGGTGTTAGTAATGAAAACTAGAGTCACAAAAAGACAAAAACTGAATGTGAGATGTTGGTCCAAACCACAAGCACATCTAAATTTGAGCATTTTTATCCAAGCCCAGTTCTACAACCGAATTTCACAAATACTCCTGTCTCCGCTATCAACTAATCCGCAACACAGAATTGTTCTGTCCTGCCACGGTGTAAAAAATAGGTAAAATCTGAATTTCCCCAACACCTGGCTGATACTAAAAGCATAACCACAGAATTGCTGTAGGCAGGCACAGGATGAAGTCCAAAAATCATGCAGTGGTTACTTTACCATTCTTGCATGTTAAGTCTCAAGTTGCTTTGAGCTGGCTTACCATTTTTTCCTACCTGAATCATGAATTAGTATCCACAACTATTCTCATCTTCTATTCCAAGGCCAGAAGAGCATGGATTATGTGCCATGGCACAACAGCCATAGCTGTACCCTACAAGGAACAGATCTGAAAAATTAAGTTTTGCGCAATACAGGGCCAAGTGTTCCTTCAAGTAAATCCAGGCTCTGTGGGTGTTAGAAACAAGTCAAAATGCCTCAGAAAGCTATTTTTAAGACATACCCGTTATTCACTATACTACTAGCTACCTAAATTCTACTTCTTCATTGAGATTTGCATACATAAAAACTGGACTAAGCTGTGCGTGAGTACCTGCCATTTAACCCTAAAAAGAAACTCAGTCAAAGAATTTCTAGGGTATTTTTTTTGTGACTTTAGTGTGTACTTACTGAAAATGGAGCAGACTTTCTCACCAAGATGCTAAAGACATCAGCTGGCTACTCCAGTTCTTCAAACTGAAATCCTTTATAAATATTCCCATCCTGAATATCATGTGCTTGACTCGTGAGAATGGCCTTATAGAGTGTGCTAAGTTATCTTAAAACCATTTTGGACTTCAAAATTAACTCTTCATTTTAATACAAAAATACTAACTACATGTATAGTATGTTTCCAGATAATAATTTCTGGCATTGTGTTTTAAGTCTACTCTTATGCCTTCTCTACGTATATATTAATGTTTTTTTAATCACTGTTAATCCAATTCAGTCTATGTAAAAAAAAACCCAGAATGAATCCTTGGTGTACTTACATTCACAATAATACCTCCTGAGTTGAAGGCACCAGTAAACATATTCCGCTGGTAATACTGCATAGTATAGTAGCTCAACTGATACTGTAGGGCAGTTGTTTTTCTTAGCTGTAGTTTTTCACTTTAATTACTGCTGGATGTTATTTATGAATTTCTCAGTGTTAAATCAGGTTGCTGTTGCATCATCACTTTGCACAAATGCCTTAGAAGCTTGCCAAACTAGCATGTAAAAGAAACCTCATTCAAAATAGTTTAGACAGGAAAAGAAGAACTCATACTTTACACTCTGTGGATGCTGAAGTCAGCAGATGAATTCCAGTCTTATAATACAGTGGAGCTTTCTATTGTACCTCCTGTTTTGACTAGCCCTGCATGGGCTTCAAAGAAAAAGTCTGTGAGAATTGTATGTTTGAATAATCTTGAGATCAGGAATTTCCAGAGAATCTGACTGAAGAATCCAGCTGCACTGAGCCGGTTCAACATAGTAACTCGAATAGGGTTTTTATGAAAACACATTTCTATTCCATATTCATATGCTACAACTGCGTTAACACACTAAGGTTAGGCTTTCCATAAAGTTCAAAATATACACAGGAAAAAAAAAAAAAAATCACATTATTGCGAATTACTCTGCTATAATCAATAGAGGCAGCTCTTTTGTTCACTATGCTGCAGTTTTACAGGAAGACCTTAATAAATCTTTTTAATCCACTGAAGTAAACATGGCAATTTTCCCTTTAAGAAGAGAAATAAGATTGATGGCTGATTCAGGCTACAGAACAGAATATAATAAAATGGCTGACAACTGTAGCATTCCAGAGGACGGTTCTGTGCTCTTTTATGTTGCAGGGTGACAAACATGAATGATACAAATATTACATGTATCACAACAGTGTTCCGTGAACACCTGTTGGGAACTGCATCTCACATCATTGTAATATCCATCCCTCCTGTAACAGTATAAAATGGAGTAAGGGTAGAGAGGAAGGGGCAAAAATAGCTGCAGAGGCAAACCAATTTGAATCAGACTGAGTTAATGGACTGGGTGCTGGCCTAAAAGCTCTGGGCTACATTCACATTTTGCTTCTCTGCCTGGGAAATCCTGTATTTCTTATGCATTCACCTTGCTTTTCTTTATACAAGTGAACTCCTATGGTTGTTTTCAGAATGAGGAAGGAACCTTTGACAGCTACAAACTTAAGAGAAAGAAATCAGCATGAATAAAAGCCCATCAATTTCTATGTAGTAGATACTAAGAAGTAAAGCAGTATTTGAAATGGGGCTCTTCCTTGTATGTTAGCACTTTCTAGTGTTATATAAGCAAGGATTTACAACATAGCACACACCTGTAAATTCCACATCACATACAGTATTTGCATATGTTCCTTGAATATAGGGTCAAATCAGACAAATAGCACTCTGAACTCCTAATAAATTGGTGAAAACTAAGCAAAAGTATCAGGTAATCAAATTTGACAAACTAATCACACAACTAAAAAACTCTACACTCTCCTCCGCCCCCCAAGTGCTATTATATCAAGTTCATAAATTACTTAGGAGCTGCAATTATTTTCAAATGTAACTTTGAGAGACTTAATGGGGATTTTAATTGGGAACGAATCTTCACACGAAAGATTACAGGCATTGTCTAAGCAAGACAGCATTTAACAAACTGCACAGCTCTTCAAATTGGAGTGTGTGGAACAACATTTTATTGACTGACTTGCTAAGAAATGTTTTCAAGTGGATTTGCCCGGTATACAATTACTCCACATTATTCCTTTTTTGTAATTCTTCAGATAACACTGTACCTGTATTCAATGTTTTTCTTGAAATTTGACAGAAAAGCAGGAGGCTTCTAGAAGTGACAGCTGTTTCTTCCTAAATATCACAGAGGTGTTCTGCTCTCACTTGTCCTCTCACTGTCTCCTGCTTCTTCAGCCACCCAGTTGAGGTTTTCACTTGTCACTGCCTGCCAAGCAAAGAAAACAAAATATTTTTAGTTATCTGCTGCTTCTGAAAACTGCTGGCTGCTCAGCATGCTTTTGTCCTTTGAGCAATTCCCCACCTAATGTGATATTAGAGAAAGCATAATGAAGGGGGTCAAACACATAATTCCAGTGTCCTCATATAGTTCCCCACCTGGAAAGAGGCATGCAAAATCTGGAAGAAAAAGAAGGTGGGTGGTGGGGAAGATGTCTGGGAAACTTCAAATGAGGTAGAGGTTCTTCTGGTGGCTTCATTTTAATCTTGTGTAAGCCACTCTACCATACAACCAGATTTGTAATGACTGAAATGTGCAGCTAACTTTGGCATGAAAGGGTGAGAAGTCAAATACACCTTGTCTTTAGGAACTGAATCAATTTCTTCACTTTCTAAGAAGGGTGAAAGAGGAAGGTAAAAAAAGAGAATTAGTTGTCTCCTTTTTTCAAGGAATAGCCCAGGTTGCTACTAGAAATAGAGCTGATGATAAAAGTTTCAAAATGAAAAGCAAAGATCTTACACATCCAACTTCTATCAGTTCTCAAAAGGTGGTGCACAGCTGACATACCTGTGGGAACTCAGAACTCAGAGCTTAGTGCTAACTAACTTCTTTGTGGCAAACTGTCAGGTTTCTCAGGAGACCTCCTTTTCCTCTGTCTCACTATACTCAAGACAGCGGTGACATCTGCTTTTAACAAGCTCCAGATTCTTCAAAATAGATTATAAAAATCTCTAGATTGTTATATCTTCAGACTAGGTAGTAACAGATTTCCAAATTAGATTATAACAATTTTCCCTGTGGAAAGAAAAAAAAATGAATGACAAATTCAGTGAAGGACTCAAAGAACCTAGTACAAATACTAAAATGCATAAGAAATCAGGACCAAAACCAGAACACACTCTCATTTTTCTCAATGTTAATTAAAAAAAGAATTGGAAAAAGAATGAGAGGCCAGTGCAGTGCCCCAGAGTAATGAAGTGGGAATTTATAAACCAAAACACTTATGTTTGTGGACAGTCCCCACATTTAAACTGCTGTGAACCACTATCTTTGATACATGGTACAAAGGTTTCAGCATTCAAAGTCTAATGTCCATGTATGCAACCTAAATGGCAGGTGAAAAATGGGGTTCTGTATTTATAGAGAACCTACTGGCAAATAATCATTAAAAAAAAATAAAACAATCACTTCTCACAGCATTTATGTCTTCAGATGTCAACACAGAGGTCACAGTGAACAAATCTGGAGAAAGATAGGAAAGCAAAATCTGTGGCAGCAAGCAAGCCAACTGAAATAACCTTTAAGCCCATTTTCCAAGTGCAAGTTAATAGAATAAAAGCACTCAGATGTCCCCATCTCAGATTCCAAATAGCCTTGTATCAGATTCCAAACAAAGAGCTGAAGGTCCCCACACACATGCATGGAGACACATCCTCAAAGGAAGAATTAGCATCTGTGCCAGAAGAGCTTGGAACATGTCTAGTACAATGACTTGCTCCACTGCTGTCCTACTGACAGGAAATAGTACAGCTCTTTCTAGAAAGGGCCACATACCATTTACTAGAATACGGGAATATGCCCATATAAAGTAACTTGGAATAATGAACTACACCTGGCCCACAGCACAGAAATACATCAACGTAACCATTTCTGATAGCACATACCAAAGCCATCTACTCACCTTTTCATTCCCACATTACACATGTGCCAAAGCTCACTTTTTTATAAACAAAGGGCAACGTGTCTCTCTGAACTAAACATTCCAGAGAGGATTATACTTTTTTCTTTGGAAAAAAAAAAATAAAACCCAGAGAAAACAGCAACCACTGCCTCAATACTCCCTTTTCCCTTCCACTCCACTTTTTCATTGTCAAATGTTTCCTCTATCTCCCCTTCTGTCTCTTGCCTTTTTCCTTTTCAAGCTATTTCCCACATGCTGTTTCTGAATCCCCTGCAAGCCTTGCACAACTAACACATGCATTGCCTCCAGGTGTTTTGCTCGCTGTTGTCCTGGAGTCACACACCGGGTTAACTTGCCAAGCTAGGCAATAACAAGCAACCCAGAACCACAGACAACTTCAAGCCACATGACCTCAACTTTACCCTCCAGGTGGTATTCAGCCACAGAGAGGGTCTAAGCTGAGTACTGTCATCTTGTGACAGTTAAGGTGGTCCAAGCTCACCACTGTACCCAACACCACCTTCTTCAACAGAAGAAAAAACACCTCTCTGCAAATGTATTTTAAATCTCAGAGTGTGCTGTTGGCACTGCATTGTGTTCCCTACACAACCTAGAAGTAGCAGAATTTCTTTGTAAAGTTTGCAGAGCAAAAAGGATACAGACTATTTAAGTTTACTACTATACCTCTTCTGATGGAATAAAATATCAAATAGAAAAAAAAATCTGTCTAAAGTTATTTTGAAAACTGCATGGCCAGCTTATGCAGTAGCTAGATATGTGGCAAGGTGGCAGTGTTACTCTCTAAGGAGAATACAATAAATACGCTTATATATTTCGTTCAATTCAAGCACTGCATAGTCTCCAAGTTCTGCTATGGGAAGTATGAGTAACTTCTCATTATCTTTCCTATTTCAAAACACAGTATTTATCACAGATGTGTACCATACAGCAGCATAGCTTAGGCCTGTTATATAGGTCAGTATCTGCAATGCACACGAGAACATAGATTGCCACTGCAAAGGAGAGTGGCTGCAAAATCTATTTTGGATAATCCAATTTGTATTTGAGGAAATCAATGTGTGGTCATTTCTAGAACTGTGAATATAAGGCAACTGCTGCATGCTTGTATATTTGATGAGTTTTATTATACTATATCCTCATATGAATGCCTATGCAGTGTAAATGCTTTAATATAAGATACTACGTGTTTTTTTACACATTATTTTCTATATGATGCTACATTTTCCTGCATGTTTATCCAATTTTTGTGTTGGTATAAAGTGCAAGCAGGAAGACACATGATTTTAGTAACATACACAGCAGCTATTCAAATCCATTCTAAAAACACATTCTTACATAAGACTTTTAATTTGGCGAGAAATGTGCTTCCTTTTGACAACGGGCTTGGTTCACAGGACTACCCGTGTAATTTATGTTTACTTAAGTAAAAAACAAAACCAACCAAAACCCTGAGTCTGTAAATGGGGCTGTTGACTCTACCACAAACCAAATATCCATATGATTTGACACCTTTGAAAACATAACTCACCTGCTTTTACTAGGAAAACAGATGACCTGTACTGATTCAAACAGAAAAATAGTGCTCTAACTGAAGCTCAAAACTGAGCAGCTGTTGTGTTTGGTGCTGCAGGATGACAATGTAGCAATCTCTTTTTAATTTATTTTTTATTTAAACAATACTTTCTCATACTTAATACACTGAGTTCATGTTATTTGACTGTGAACTGGGCCCACTGTTTACCATGTTATTATCCATAACCAAAGTTCAAGGTTAACAGAACCGAGGTTGACTTTGGTTTTGGTGAGGTTTTGTAGAGGTGGCTTGGCACAGCCAAATGCACATGCTGTACCAGTGCATTTTAAACACAGGGTAACCACTGGCTGAAAGACTGATGACTAAGCATTGTCAGTTCTATCTTGCACTGCTGGAAACTAAGTTAATGATGTAACACTAAATCAAGGAAGTAATGCATTAAAGCTATGTAAATATTTTTATTTATCAATGCTGCAGCATCATAGATATCATTTTTCACTGCTTTGATATCCAAGGATTCCTAATACTACACGAATGTATTTTCATCTGATTCATCTTTTAGTTTCAGTACTTTCATTCAAAGCAAAGTAACTTCTATTTCTTTGTACTGCACTGAAATAAAAGAATCTTGTTTCAGTACATAATGCTTTTGTTATTCTTTCTGGTCTGCCTCTGTCAGTGCTTGCTGCCGTGAGCACTGAATCACAGATACTAGTCCCTAACTCTCAGTCTCCTGCACACACACATACTGAAGGTGTACCCAGCAATACAGGCAGACTGCCTGGTGCCTCCAGTGAAGGCTCTGCTGAGTCTGTGAGCAGCACTGGCACTGAGTGACTGTGAGCATCTAGTCAACTTCACAACTACTGGAACACAACATATAACCTGTTTTAGGCTTCAGGCACATTAAGCGTAAATCCCACTTTCAGGCACATCAATCTCTATCACACAGGCTATATCCATCCTGTGTGAACATTAAACAGACTCTCAGGCTATAAAGCAGTCTTTTGACTGTATTTGTAATTAAGACAGGGGCATGGTATAAGCTTGAACAGTATGTAGTATCATCCAAGTTGTTACCACAACTGTCCTTCATGTTGGCCCACAACAACCGGCACTCTCCCAGGCAATGCCCAGCTGCAGCATTACAGGACAAGATGACTTAGCAACTGTTTTCAATGCAGTCTCACCACAGCTACCCTGTAGGGAAAGAGGAAAAGGACAGGTAAGGCAGTTGGATGTCAGTCAAACTGTGTCACTTAGCTGTACAGCCAAGGAATTACTCCTGGCTTCTTTTGGTGTTTAGATAGATACAACTATTCACACCCCTACAGTTATCACACTCCAAACCTGAACCTTAGCAGCAAGTCCTGGTGTCAGACAAAAGAAGTGTTCTCCAGGATGCAGTTTACCTGTGAACACTTCAACCCAACAGGGAACTGGATCCATCTCTGAATTTCCAATTCTCCCTTGACTGAACAGGACCGATTGGAAATGGAAATACTGCCCTATTAATCAGACAAGAGAAAACAGCATTTATCAAAGCAGGTCTTGTAATAGTAGGAGAAAACAAACAAACAAACAAAAACACACCAAAAAAACAAACCAAAGAAAAATAGAAGACAGAGAGCTTACCAGCGTCTGTCAAATTCTAGTGAATAATTAAAAACTGCCTAATTGAGCTCTGCCAAGATGAAGGTCATAAAGCCTCATTCAGCACTTCAACCCCAACTTTTTCTTGGGGTTATAGGCAGGAGGCAAAGCAGACGTGTAAGAAAAAACATTTTATGTATGATAATAAAATTGAAGCATATGAAGCCTGACTAATTCAGTGGCCTTCTACAATGGAGTGACTGCATCAGTGGACAGGGGAGAACTACAGACATCATCTACATGATGATGTCTGGCCCTTAATATAGTCCTCCATATCATCTACATGATGATATGGCCCTTAATATAGTCCTCCACAACATTCTTGCCACTAAACTGTAAAGATACTGGTTGATTGATGACTGTGAGATGGATAAGGAATTGCTGGGTGGTCATGTCTGAAGAGTTACAATGAATCAAGTGGCCCTGCTGAGAAGGACTTGGGGGATACTGGTGGATGAAAAATTGGGCATTAAGAGGCAACTTGCTCCTGCAGCCGAGAAAGCTAACTGTAACACGGACTACATCAAAATAATTTATGACACAGACAGCAAGAGACTGGAACAGGCTGCCCAGAGAAGCTGTGGTTGCCAAGTGCTCGAGGACAGGTCTTTGAGCAACCTAGCGAGACATATCCCTGCCCACGGCAAGAGGTTGGTCTAAACAATCTTTAAAGGTCCCTTCCATATGATTCTAGGATTCTGTGATTCTAAGATGCTGCAGTAAGTTACCTCAGTAGCTCAGGTTATCATCTGATACCAATAAAGGAAACAGTCACATGGCTTAGAGTCTTGATTTCTTTCTTGTACACTATACAACTTACCTGAAAGTAGCTGCTTCTGTAACACAGCAGTGATACAGGTTCTACATTAACAAGTAAGTAACCTTGTACAGAATAATTCTTAGCCAACAAAACCACAAGCAGCTAGACTGACTTTTGACACAGGCAAGACACATGAAGCATAAAAACATTCTACAGAATAATTTATTATTTGGGCATTTGCATAGAATGATTTAAAAGGAAGAATAGTTTCTTCTCCCTTCTTGTTTATGACCACCTCTCATTACTAAAGAATACAGAGGCTTGTTGGCATGCTCCACCTCAGAGTATGCATGTGTCTCTTCTCCCCCTCATGTTTTCAGTTCCAGTGCCACACCTATGTTTTTTTATCTCAACCCCCAAGTAGTTTGCTCTGGATACAGCTGTAAATGATAGCACAGCCTGAGCTAATGTATGCATTTATGGTGTAGAATTTTATTTGCTGTTCTAGCTCAATATGAAATCAGGTTAAAGCCTCCCACCTGAACCCCGGTACAGGCTTTGAAAGCTTAATGTACAAAAGGTAAAAGATGTGTAACATGGAATAGCCCAGGTCCCCTCACATGTCCCAAGAAGCGAGTTACAGAAATAATGACAATACTAACAAATCTCTGTCTAAAGACCGTCATGCTTCGGAGAGAAAAACCCTTCCCACAAAGAGCTGCTGTTGTGGATAAAGCAGCCTACCACAAAGGACAGAAGGGATACATGCACAGAGGTGGGAAAATGTTGGCTATGGAAATGAGTGTTGTGTAACAGCCTAGTATTCTTTCCATCAAAGTGTGGGCTACACAGACTACAGAAAACAAACCAGGGACTGACACAAACCAGCAAGTAAGATGACTCCAAACATTTCAATACTTGAGATAAGCATTATGTTATTTGGAGGATCCTGTAAATAAATTCTAAGGTGTCCATACCTTATTACAGTAATCTATTTCAAGTAGGCACCCTTTTCCTTAGCAGAAAGCTGCAACTCCCAATTCTCCCAACAAGAATAATCAACAGCCAATACTTACCCAAACCCCTATGGCTTGTGCAACATAACCCTCTCTGAGCAGAGTCAGATATGAGTAGACTCAAATTAAGATCCTAGTTGGAATCTGGGAAAGCAGGAGCTACCCTGGATTTCTCATTTCCTGGGAGACTGCCACAGTCACTGGGATTTTCTTTTGCTTTCACATTCTCTTAAGACTACAAGAGCCCTAACCAAAACAACTAAAAAAAGTCCTAAACAAATCCTCCTCCAACTTCCATCTAAAAAACTTCTAACCAGGTCTACTGCTACGTAATTAGCTCTACAGAGAGAAACTCATGTTCCCTGCAGTTTGAAAATGAGAAGAATAAGCAGCAGATAACATTTAAACAGAAAATGTAAAGACTGACAGGAGATGAGAGAAAGTAGAAACTCCGAAGATAACCACGGCTCTCAGTGGTATGTGCTTTCGTGAAGGCTGCTTTATGTTTTACCAGAAAGCCAGCTTCTAATTGCAAAGGTCACAAAGAGGTAAGCAATACTTGGCCAGACTTTGACCCACACTGTTCCACAATACAACGCCTGACAGATTTCTTCACTAAATACCACAGAAGTGAAGAGTTCAGAGCAAGGAGGAAGAACCAATTCTTGTGCAGAGAAACTTTACCTTTACTCCAAAGATACTTATGTCCCCCTTTATTCTGTCAGAGCATCTCACTTTCATACTTCCTATGTTTTCTGCAAGACAATTATTCTATTCAATTATTGGATTAGTGCCCATTTCTGCAGAAATTATACACTTAATACCAAAAATCTGCATCCAGAAACTCAATATTCTTTTTTGCATATGCAGCTTCATATCCTATGAAGTAGGAAAAATCTTAGTCCTATTTACAGACAGTAAGCAACTCTAACTGCTTACTGAGAAAATTAAAAAACCTTCAGTCCCAGTAGCTGAAAAGAAACCAGCTGCAGACTGCTACCATTGGACCACTACCATTACTGCGCAGGAACAGATTTTATCCCATTCCCTGCCTTTGATAGCATCCAACAGGGTCTGTGCTCCAGTGGAATAAGATGATGCTGGTGGCATTAATGGGTCCCCTTTCCACTCAGAATCACATGCAATAGGATACAATAAACAACTGCTTTCTTACAAGACTGCCTAGGCATAAACAGGCCACATTTCAAGTATACATCCTTTTCAGGCTTTATTTCCATATCCAAAGCAGCACATACTTTTTATCAATTAAAACAGGGCACTGATCCCCAAAGGTACAGACATCTCCAACTCAGAATTTTGCAGTTCCCTCCAGAAGAGGAGCCCTTGGCTAACCTCTGATTCATTTTTTAATACCAATATTTATTTTTCCCAGAGTGCCACATGTTCTCAAGCAATACGCTAAACTGAAAGAAACGAGCAAGTGACAGCACATGTAGCTGAGCACAATAGCAAATCAGCTATGGTATGCTTCTGGATTTAGCTATCACCTTTGGCATCGAGTGACATTTTAATAAAAAAAATAAATGAAATAAAATAAAATACAATAAAATAAAATCACCAAAAAAACCCAACACAACAGCACCACCGCCACAAACACCAAAAACAACAAAACAACCACAAAACCCCAACAAAAATTACAACAAAAAATCTACAACAAAAAGCCATTTTCTTTTACATACTGGTTTCTTAACAACATGCTCTTTAAGGTAGCTGAAGGGCATAACATGCCAATAGCATGTTGAGACAGTCAGTCACTGGTGAAATGACTCCTGAACTGTGTATACCTATTGCCCAAACTCAAACTCTGTTCCACTTACAGAACCCTGCTAAATACAGCCCAGGTTTTAACCTGCTTCTTCAGGCTAAAGTAATCCAGGTCAATAAACTGTACATATGCTTCAGCAAGAGAGCCAGAAAAACACTCAGGTGTTTGGCTCATTGCAATAAATCTTCCAAATCACTTCATTCTACTGTCTCACAACTAACAGTGAAAATGCTCATAATATGACACATAGGAAGACTGAAAGAGTGCAAAGAAATCACTGAACAGCAATAACCTACTTTCACAGGGCTCCCACATTTCAACTTCTTTCTTTGAACGAAGTTCTATTTGCAGACAGAGGAGGAGGAGACTTCTTCATATCCTTGTTCAGCCTGCAGTTTAAAATACTTTGAAGATATATATGCTAGATAATGCAAAGATGAAACCACAAATCATAGTTCAGTACCAAAGCATTATGTTCCAGTCACTACCCTGTATCCTATTTATGGCTATAGCTAGTATCAAACCAGCATGGCAGTTAAGTCCTTAAATGGATTTTACTGTTGATGTAATATAATAGTCCCAAAGACTATGTTCGGAATACTAACACATTTCAAAGGGGTTTATGAGCTACCAGAAAGGTCATGTCTCCTGTAGCAGAACCAGCTTAACGAGCTCATTTTAAGGGCTTATAAATGCTTAAAGCATCTCAGCTCATGTAGAACTGTCATAACAGTAGTCAAGAGTATCTGCAGAGCCATGCTCAAAAGTTACAGACCTCATTGTACAACCTAATTTCTAACCAAAAGTGCCATTTAAATCAATGGGATAATTCCAGGGAGCACCAAAGGGTGAGCAAATTAATTTCTATTCATACTGATACAAACTTTTAAAGATTTGAAACACTCAAAATTTTAGGATGGCCCTTTCAAAATGGACAGTGGTTATATTAGCAGCACAGCAAATACTTTATAGACAAGTAAAGCAGCAAAGTCTATACCCACTGATTTTTCAGTCCGAGAACGCTCTTCCGAACAAATTCAGTTTTACAAAAATGTCTTTTGATCTACAAGCACAGAAAAGATGGGCAGGGCTGTGGAACTAGCTAAAAAAAAACCAAAACCATCTTATAGACAATCAAAACCAAACTGTGGCTACCATAACACTCTGTACAATCTAGTCCCCCACTCTGTGAGTATTAAACTGCCAGCAGAAACAGTGTTTTAAAATAATTATTTTCTTCATCACCTGATTTGGAGAAAATGTATTCAACCATGTCATGGGACCCCCA